GGGCATGAACCAGAAGACCTTAACCATTTTTACCTTTCCGATCCATTATGGTCTTTTTTTACAGTTCACAATAAAAGTAACATTTAATAAAGAACATATGAGCGTCTGGGTGCAGCTCGGTGGAAGAGCATGTCAAGCACGCGCAGAGCCCTGGGTTCCATTCACAATACTGGAAAGAAATAAATGAAGTAAAGGCAGAAACACACAGACTAAATGCAAACAAAGAAATGAATAAACAAAAGTAAAAGGCAAAAACAAAGAGACTGAATGAAGAGCAGTTAGCACAGCACTAGATTAAACAGGCAAGAAGCCCCAGCCAGCATGGTGCAAGCTGCTTTCAACACTGAACACTTGGGTCTTGCCCCTTAGTCTGGTGGGGTGACCTACATCAGCTGTGTGTATGGCTGCCATGAGGAGGGAATCCTCTGAGATGACCCTGTCATGTTTCCCCATGCCTTTCCAAAGACCTCAGCTTGCAGAAGTGGATGGAAACTGGAATACCTTTCACTCTGTCTTACCTAAAACTTACTTGGGCCACAACAGGTGTAATATGTGTGAGAAGTTAGTTTGGGTGGGGTGGGCACCAGGGTTTGAAACTATTTCCATAAACGTTGGCGGAAACCTGACCACTTGGCAAACATTACCCAATGTGTTCAGAGCAGACAGGCTGGCCTCCTTCCCCGCTGCTGTCTGGGATTAAAGGGTGATGGTTTGCAGGGCCCACAATGGCACTTTCAAAACACAGTGTCACCTAGGCTGGCCGCTTATGAATACCCTGATCTCTCTGGACTTGAGGAAGTTATGGCAGTGTGCTCATGCTGGTACCACACCAGACAGAGCTTTTGCATTTTTTTTTCTGGCTCCTGCCTCTGCTCCCAGCATCCTGGGAAGTGGGTCAGTCTGGGCAGGCCTGGCCAGCTGCTTTGTTGTGCCAGGAGAGCATGCCCTCCCCTGACTTCCTTCCTTCCCCATAGCCTCTCTCCCTGTACCCAGAAGCTGTTTGTTCTCCAGTGAGAAGAGCAGGAAATGAGAGAAGCAGCAGGGACTGGCTAGGAGGAACCAACAAGTAGTCCCCTATTACCCTGTGGGGCCCTTGCCTCTTCCTGTCCCTGGGTGGGAGAGAGTCAGAACACCTTGTCTAGATCCTGCCTGAATGAGCCACCAGCCTGCACCTGCTGGTCCCTGGAGAATGCCCACATCGTCAATATTCCTCCACTTGCCCTAGCCCTACCACAACTCCCTGCTGGGCCCAGTGTTCTGCCTGTGACCAAGAGGCTTGTTCAAGATGGATAGGCTAGAGCCAAGCCAGCATGGATAGCTCCTCCACCCAGCTGGCAGCTGTAGGCACCATTAGCATTATGCTCTGTTTCTTGATGGATTATGGGATTCTAGGACACGGTCCTTCTTGGGCTCTAGGGCCATGGCCGGGCTCCACTGTTTGGCCTCAGATGCGCCATTTAAACCAGGCACCCAGAGTGTCCAGGTTTTGCATAGGGCAATCAGGATCAAATGACATGTTTCCAGGCAGCAGTCCATAGCCTCATGACCATGGTTATGGGAGTTAAATGCACCTGGATGACCAGGTGTCACTGACTGTATAGGTGAGCTTGCTGGGCTTTGTGCCCTGGCCACATACCAAAAAAGCAGCAAAGGCCTAGTTTAATGCTGACCCTGTCTTGACCAGATAAGGGCTAGTAAAAGGGTGTCTATTCCTGTCCTATTGATGATAAGCTCAGGCTCCTAACAACCCTGTCAGACAGTAGCCACATGGCTGAGCCAGCCTGGATCTACCAGAGCAGGGGTGTACATTCCAAACTCCCCGAGCTGTAGATCTCCACCTGCAACAACTTGTCTTTTACACGGCATTACATCAGAACCACAGTGAGCCCTTCCGGGGCATAGACATTCACAGGGAAGTAGAGTTCTGTTGGTACCTAAGAAACACACGTGACCCAGTGACAGAAGCTCTCTGATGCTTGCCAAGAAATGGTTAATTCTTTCCCAGAGTCATAGGGAGCACTGGCCTCAAGCCCAGGGTGACCAGCAGCTGCTTCTGCTATTTCCACTCCAGTAAACATTGCCCAACCAGTTCCTCATGGAAAGCAGCAATTGTTAGAGAAGAGCAAATATGTGTGCACACATGAATGCAAATGCAGACCTGTGTTCAGGTGTGTGTGAATGCGTATGTTTGCACATGTAGAGCTGTGTGCACCTGTGTATAACTATGTGTAAATGCACATAGGTGCAAACCTATGTGCATGTAAGCATGTGGGCATAGGCCTTTGTGCATGTGTGTGTAAATGTGTGCATATGCACATAGATACAGACCTGTGTATATGTGTGCAAATGTGAGCATATGCACCGTGTGTGTGTGTGTGTGTGTGTGTGTGTGTGTGTGTGTGTGTGTGTGTGTGAAAGGGTGTGTTTTTAGAGGGGGGGGGGGGAGAGACGGGGTGTGTGTGTGTGTGTGTGTGTGTGTGTGTGTGTGTGTGTGTGTGTGTGTGTAAATGTGTGTGCTTATAAGGGTAAGGGAGCTAGAAAGGAGGAAGCTGTCATTGGAAGGATGAGAACTATCAGAGCCCTGGATCAGAGCTGATGCTCTCCTTTAGTGGAACTTTCTCTAGCCTCACGTGAATTCTCTGCTTTGGAAGCAGGGCCTGCAGCCCAGCAGGGCCAACAGTTATAAATGTGAAAAGCTCCATGTTGAAGAAGTGGCACCATGCAGGCCTCCATCCCCAGTCCGCAGGGCATATACCCTGGGGTTGACAAGCTGGGGTTGACAAGCCTCCCATCAGCTTCTGAGGATGCAGAGATAGGTGGAGGCATGTCCAGACTCTAGCAGATAGAGCCACTGTCAAGGGTTCCTCCTGGAATATGGCTCTAGTGCGTCACCTGCTTGGTAGGGGGAAGAGAGCCAATAAATCCTGCTGTCACCAGCACTGACCACTGTCATCCACAAGTTAGATATCATGGCTTGAGATAATGCTGGGTACAAAGCACTTTGAATGACAGTCCTCAACTGAAGTGTGGAAGAGAACCCACACCCATACTTCTAATTTACAACTATGCATTTGAGTCTCCAGCAGCAATAGCTACACAGAAATTGGCTCATCTCCCTGAAATAATGGCAAAGACACTCAACCCTGCCTCAACGAGGCTACCCTTAATGGTGAGATCTGTCAAGCTGGGTCTGAGAACTGTACACATAGCCAGTGTTCAATACCACAGCTGAGGTCCCTTCTGGCCAGAAGCCAGCAAACAGGTCATTCTGTCCCCTGGTGGCCTCTGGCTTTCACTGGGGTGGGTGGGGCTGCCAGGCTGGTGCCAGCACAGACCCAGGACAGCTTTCTTCCAAGGAGCTGATATCTGAGTGCATTTACAGCACTCTGGGGAAGATGATGCCTCTGGGGGTGCCCTCAGTGCTTCCTTGTGCTGATCTGTGAACACTGAGTCCTACAAATCCAGCCCGCTTCACCAGGGCCTTGCTGAACACTGGCTGCTGACAGGCCTGCTTGTGTGCTGAGGTCCAGGTGGGCAACATCGGACCATCTGTTTTTTGTTTTGTTTTTTTTTGTTGTTGTTGTTGGTTTTTTGAGACAGGGTTTCTCTGTGTGGCCCTGGCTGTCCTGGAACTAACTCTGTAGACAAGGTTGGCCTCAAACTCAGAGATCCACCTGCCTCTACCTCCCAAGACCTCCCAAGATTAAAGGTGTGCACCACCACCACCAGGCATGACTACCTGTTCTTACATCACACTCTGATTCCTTAGTTTTGCTTCATGTACATCTCCCATACATATCTCAGATCCAAGGACTGGGAATAGGAAGCATTAAGCTGTGTGTTTTCATCTTCTTAGATTTTGTCAAAACCTTACCATTTTTCAAAAACCATTGTGTCTGGAAGAGGGGTCCTGGAAGCAGGGACACAGGACAGGGAATTTCCTGACAGTGCTAGGGGCTTTTGTAAAAGTAAACATCATGTTTCATATTCCCTCTCCTTCCCGGGAAGACAGTGAGAAGCTGCCTTTGAAGGCTGTGGTAAGTGTTCCTCTCAACAGGAACAGTTGGATGTGGCTCGTTGAGGAGAATCCAAGTTCATGACCCCAGGAGCTGCCCCAACATAGCACCTCTCAAGACTGAGGGCTTACACCGAGGGTGCAGGTCCTGAAAAAAGGTAGCAGCATGATGGGGTCTGTATTTCATTCCCAGGCCTAAGAGAACGGAATGTGACTGTCACATAACCAGTTTACAGGCTAGCTGCTCATTAAGTGCACTGGCCTTAATATGTTGCTTTGTTCAGCGGTCGCCAACACACTTGAGTGACTCTCTAATCCACGGCGGGGCTTGCCATCCTCTGAGCTCTGCTCTGCCAGATGCTCTCCACCCAGCCTGCTTCTCCTGGGTAATGAGCTGCAGTGAAGCTTGCTTTGTGCATATCTTGTATGGAAATGCTTGTGGCACCTGCCTTCCAGGACCATGAACTTGCTCTGTGCAACTTTTGTGTCTTTCCTTTAAGAGTTCACCCTGGTCTTGCAAAGTATCAGTAAGACAGACTAGTTCTATGAACTCGTCATGTCATACATCATGAGAACTGGCAACGTGCAAGGGTCCCAGTCCACCTGGGAGCTGTTTTTCACAAAGCTGGCTAATACAATGCCCGGACAGAGAGAAGAGGACTGCTTTCTCCTCTTCTGGATGTAATCGCCCTTTTAGATTTTACAGGGGGTTATTGGATTAAGGTCTCTTTATTTCAAAGCACAGCCGGGTGACACACAGGCCAGAGCTAGGTTAAGAACACAGCCAGCGCGGCCAGAACAAAGAGGGGTCCCCGTCCCCACGTGCAGCCCCTTAAGAAGCCCCCTTACGTCATTCCGGCTTTCCTTCACCATGCCCTTATGGGCGAGTCCCTGGGTCCACATGGTACCTGCCCCAGGACTATTGGGCGGGGCTAGGGTGACTCCCTACAGGGGGTGGGGAAGAAAGGCAACTTGTCATGCCGGATTCTAAAATAAAAAGTCTTTTATTTTTATCAAATAAGATAGCAGCTAACAGTTTAAGAAAGCTTGGGTATATGTGTGATTTAGAAAATATTTGGCTAAGTTAAAAGTTAGCATTTTTAGTCATTTGTAAAGTGCTGAGGAGTGTGTTTCTGGTGAGCATCTGAATTAGGCTTAAGAAAACAAATTTTTAGCCATCCAGTAAGTGAAACACTGATGTACAAATACAGGTGGAGCAAACAGAATCTATATATAGGTTACTCATGTCCCTTGACATTCCAGGCTGCCTCTCAAGTGCCCCATATGACCCTGTATGTTCTTTGGGAGAGGGGACACTGGCATGGCAGGCAGTGGGGGCAGCAGCTGAGGGTCAGCACCATGGGTCACTCATTCTAGAATGAGTGTCCAGATGTGCGTGGCTCACTGACAGCAAGTGCACTGAAGACCTGAGCTCTTCAGCACCGTCCCTGTGTGACAGAGCCCGCACGTGTCCCACGCCGATACTAATTTCCTTTAGCGTGAGAATGAAAGCAGGGTTTGGCATGGAAGCTGGAGTTGACATTATTAAACATTTTGGCTTAAAGCAAAGATTATGTGCAAAACACTACATGTAGTATATTGACTGAAATGCTAATGGTTAATTTTTAATAGAAAACACAATATAAAAACACTATTTGTTAAAGGGTGCAGTACACACATCAGTTGACTTTGGAAAGCCTCAGTCGCTCCCAGACAACGCAAGCTGACTGGACTGGAATGTGTCACCTGGCTCTTTAAATTGTTACATTTTTTATTCTGAGATTTAAAAAATATATAAGATATAAATAACAGTAGTGAGCCTAAGTCAAGTAGGATGATTTTAAGAATTGTTAATGACCTCCTATGCTACTGGACACTACAGTTCCCCGTCAGCTCTCTGAGATGTGCCCAGAACTGATGCCCTTGGTGCATGCTGCATCTCGGTTGAATGACTGACGGGGCAGACTGTGGCACTCTCCCAGAACTCTGTTCAGTGGCTGAAAGGCCATAATGCTCCTCTGCCTCCCTCACACCTCTGACTCGGATGTTCCATGGGAGAAGGCAGAGAATCTGTGTGACGTCTGCAGATTCCTTTCCCAACTCTGCTTCCAGTTGGTCCCAGTGGTATGGATGCAGCCTCCACCACTTGGCCTGCACCCAGTCGAGAGCTGTCCCTGCTTGCCACCCTCATGCCAGGCGGCAGCCTCTGATCTACATGCTCAGCAGTGGGATCTGCCACACCATCACTGAAGACACCAGGTCCTCCTGAGAAGGTTGCCTAGCCTTCCTGTGAACTCGCCGGTGGCCTTGGCCCCCACACACCACCAGTGCTGAGCTGGCTTTGGCTCTCCTAGAGCGTTGTGCCCTGCTCCTCGGGGAGGCACTGGGGTCCTTCAGGAGGTCACACAGGCTGTTGTCCACAGATCTGTGCTCTAGGGAGCTGGAGCCATGGGACAAGCTCAGAGAACCTGAGGATGAAGACAGGTCACTCTTCTGAGCTGTCAGTCCCGGGGAGTCTCCCAACCAAACGGCTGTGTTGGCGGCTGTGTTGGTGTCAGTCTGGCCCAGGCAAGAAGTGCCCTCCTCACCACAGAGCAAATCCTTGGGGTCTTCATCCTGAGGCTCAGGGCCGGAGGGTGGGCTGTCTCTGGCTCTGTCCTTGTTCTTCTGAAAAGCTGTGGCCATGACAATGAACTTAACAGGCCCATTGTGTGCATGGTAGGAGACCATGCCCCGCCCTAAGAGGACAATTCAATAAAGATCTTTAGTGACACACATACTGCCTAGGATGTTAAAGTGCAGGATCTAACCCTGTGCCCCTACCCAGGCAGCAGCTTGGCAACTAACACACGGGATAGTTGAAGCAGGAATCCCCAGATCATATCCCTATGGACTCTCAGTCACCTGAAGCCTTAATATGGATGGCTCTTGGTAAGAAAGTTTAGTGCTTTCGAAGAGGATGGAGGTGCAGGTCCCAGGACCCACACTGTGTGGCTCACAACTGCCTGTAACTACAGGGACTCGGATGCTTTCACCTGGACTCTGTGCACGCTGCACTCCCATGGCAACAATGAATACAAGAAGGTGTACATGCACGCACACATATGAACACACACACACACAAACACAAAAGTAATATATAAATATTTTAAAAAGAGATTATCCCGTGTTCAGGCTCACATTTTCACACACACACACACACACACACACACACACACACACACACACACCTGAAGTAATATAATCAAAAGTCTTTAGCTTTGGGCCTGGAACACTTCCTCACTCACTCTATGTAAATGGACCTGATTTCCCTAAGCCTTAAGAAATCAAAAAACTCCAGTCCTCAGTGTCAGGAATACAGTGCCTATACTATACTACCAGAAGCTTCTGGCAATTTACACTGCAGAAAGTTTCTGGGGCTTGAGAAAAACAATTCCACAATTGTTTATTAAAATCAGGACTTTCTGTCTCCAGGTCACCGAGTGACTCATTCATCTTATCAGTCAGAAACAGCTCCTGGCCACTGACAGGAGTGCTGACTCCCCATGTCACTGATCTTAGCTGATTTTTTGGATACTTTGAAGATGCTAATGACAGATGCCCAGATACTGGAACATGACAGGAAGTAACAGAAACAGAGGAGAAAATAAAGTCACCAGGAAGACACACACATGAGGAGACGACTGCAGACAATGCAAAATTAGGAAAATGGTGTGAGGAACAACTTGGTGAATAAAACAGAAGGAGGGTGTGGGAGGGAAGAGGTGAGCTCAGAAGGGTGGCAGGCTGGGGACTCAGACCCAGAAACCAGGCCTCAACCCCTCCACCAGGTGGCCACCATGCTCTCCCACTACCACGTACACAGAAAACATCTGGTAAGTAAAACTTGAGGTATCTGCTGCTGCGTATAGCTCCTAATAAACGAATCCTGAGAGCTGAGTGAATGTGAGCTGGGGCAGTAGTTGGGTGGAAAGTGTGAATGCCCATCACGAATAAGGCCCTGGATTTACCCCTTAGCACTGAAAAGGAAGGAGAAGGGGAGGAAAAGAGGGGAGGGGGTAAGAAAAGAAGGAGATCAAGGGATGGATGGAGGGGACAGGAGGAGTAGGGGAAGGAGTGAATGAACTGGGATTCCTTAACCCTACCAGCTAGGAAACACCACAACGTACTAGTCTGTCCATACCACATGAAGGGACCATGGAACCCAGCCCTTGTTAACATGCTGCTGCTGACTTCCGTCAAGTCCTCTGCTCCACAGCTGTCCTCCCCAACAGATGGTATGACCAGCACACACACAGGATCTTTGTTTCACATACAGTGTCAGCACTCTGGGGGTCCGCAGCAGCTCTCCTCAACATCCCCCTACCTGCCATTTGAACATTCAGGAGCCCTCTTTTCCATTCCACTGAAATCTCCCCATCATGCTTTGTTCTTAGCTGGGGCTTGCCCGAGTAGGGTCCTGAGGTGGAACCCCCAAGACCATGATGTTGGACTGTTTCCTGGTATGAACTGCAGCCAGAAGCAAAACTAAGAGAGGTGTATACCCAGTTTCTCTACGCCAAGAAAGAAGGGGTCCATTTCCACTGAGCAAAACACTGTGTTCGGATGGGAATTAATGAGTAATAGAGGCACCATGAAATGAGTTTTCAGGATGGATTCTCCTGGAACTACTAACACCAGAGTGAGAAAAACAGAAGAGAACATGAAAACAGAACAAATCGGCATCTCTTCTAAGTATCTACGGTGCCCTAAGGACCACAGGACAGCAACCTGTGGGGCCACTTTGAAGAGAGGCAGGCATGTAGCTGTGCCCACTTACCTGTCACTTTGGGAATACCCTGAAGACGAGGAACTGGCAGAGCCACCACAACACCCAGGCTGGTACCAACCATGAGCAATCCATGACAGACGAGCAGGCTGGTCACAGACAGACGTTGGTGCCCTAGATAAGAAAGAGAAGTGACCCCAATGCCCTGTAGCTGGCTCACACAGCAGTGCTCGGTGGGTAGCAGGGGGTGGGCATGCAGGCTGGAAATGTTCCAGACATCAAGACCATCCCCCAGACACCACTAAGCCTTGTGGCAAGACAAGCTGTAAGGATGCTCATACCTGTGCCTTCCTCGTGAGAAGAGAAAGACAATGTCCTGGGGTTGTCCCATCAAGGCATCTCCTTAGACCAGCCTTGCCAGAGGTGAAGCAACCCCAGGGCTATTTAAATCATCATAGTTACATAGTGCCTGTTTCTCTCTGTGTGTGTCTCTCTCACCCCCCCCCCACACACACACACTTACACACACACACACATACCTACACACACACTGGCAGCACACTGTAGATACACACTGCCTTCGAGGCTTCCAGAGTTTCTGTGCATGTGTATCCCACAGGTATGGTGCAAGTGATGGTAAGGAATGGAGATGGTTAAAGCACTATGGGGTCAGAGAAGCCTCCAAGGTGCCTGGTCTGTTCTGCTGAGCCTTCTCTGTAGCCAGTAGGAACTGACCAGGCCAGGAGGAGGGTTTGGGAGGAGTGAGCAACATTGCTGCAGGAATCTTCTTACAGGCTGCAGAGAAGCAGGGGGCCTGCAAAGGGATTCTGCTTCCATGGAAAGTGACACTGGGTTGAAAGGAGTCTTAAGACTGGTCCTGGCATTTGGTCCAAAGGCCGACCAGCATAGAGTGACAGAGGTGACTCATGCAGCACCCGCTGACTCTTGCCTTCTGTAGAACAAATGTTATTTTTGCTATGTCTGTGTGTGATACAAAGCTTGTGCTGAAAACAAGCAAATAGTAGGGCCAAAGTGGATTGCGTGTTTTCAGAGGTCATCTTTATGAAATGCTTAGACTTCAGATATTTCAAAACTAAAAGGCATTTTCAACTTAATGGTGGTCTGTGCAATTTCTTAAAAAGCTAAAACAGTATTTAATCCCCGAGATTCCAAATTGGTCTATTTGGAATGATGTGAACCTTAGAAATGCATCACAATTAAGCCTGCAGTGGCCATGTCCTCCAGCAGGTGCTTTCAAAGGCTGTTGAGAAACGCTGAGGAATTCCAAAGCCAATACCCGCCATCATTCACAGTCATTATTGCTGACCGCTGTGTTACCGTGCCAGGGCAGGCTGCTGGGTCATCACGCCATATAGGAGCCACTTCCTCCACCTGTCTTCCCATGGGTTCCCTCACAGTAACACAGGAAATCAGATGGGAGAATGGAAAGTTCCAGTGAGTCTGAGGGACTTCCTTTTTAAAACACAGAGGTCTGGGAAGCAATTAAACCCACAGCTCCAAGAATAACTACCCACTTCCACCCCAAAGCCTCAGCTCTGCTCAGAGTATCAGCCTGAGGAGCAGCCGTGCACCCAGGTGCCAGTCAGCTGCTGCGTGCAGGTGACACTCCACAAATGACACTGATTGATCGCTCAGATCGGACATCGGAAACTGTTTTGCATTGGGAAACTGGCTTCCCTTTATTTTTTCTACGAAGCAGAAATTTTGAATTCATAAATTTTAGAGTGTTGATCTGAGCTGGGCTTTTAAAGAGCCCTAGAAATATTAATACTGTAAATAATGTCACTTCAAAGACAATTATCGGGCAATTAGGGCATCTCGTGTAATGCCCTTTCATTCAGCAGCTCCAAAAAAAACCCAAAAATAGTTTACCGTCAAAGCATGAAGGATGAGAGAGTCACTAGATATTTTCATTCACCCAGAAATACATCTTGCATTCTTCATTCTCTGTTTGAATCTCCTCCATATAAACAGTGTATATATATATATATGTACTTTTTTTTTCAGAGAAATTTCACTTTTACACCTACATTATCTTAAGTATAGTAAGAATCTGGGAAGTGTTCCATTGCCTTTTCAAAGAAAACCTTCCCTTAAAAGTGTTTCCCCAAGGAGAATACACAGAACAGCATCAGGTTCAGATGATGGCATCCTGGAGGGGCCAGAAGTCCTGCAGGGACACTGAGCTACAAGGGCTTAGGTGTGCAGCAGCAGGGCCTCACACAGGTGTCCCCTGAGCCCAGAACGCTGACCTGCAGTCAAAGCAATCAGATGGAAACTACAAAAGAAACAGCCTTAATAGTAATAGTAGTAGTAGTAGTAGTAGTAGTAGTTGTTGTTGTTGTTAGTAACAAAGAAAGCAGGTAAGTCCCAGATGCTAGTATTTCCTGTTTTTCATTTGGGAACTATGTAAAAACTTGTCCCAGGAACTGGCTATTTGCTTTTTTTGTTTTTTTTTTTTCTTCTTCCCTAATGCTCGCCTCCCCTGAGGTCCCAGTCTGCAGGAGACAAGTACCTGGTGTGTGTGTGCCAGAATGGAGTTCCCCGGTTCACACTTACAACCAGGAGTGCAGTTTAACTCGCCAACCCCCTTATGACTACGGCCATGGCATGGTAAGACTCACACTGAACTTTTAAATAAAAAACTTGGCTCTATTATTTGGCCACATCACTTCTGGAAGTTGTATCTTCTCAGAAGGGACACAGACGGTCAATGTGCCCCCAGCACCTCTGTCACCCCGCTCTGCCAGCTTTGACTATTGAGGACAACACAGGAAACATCTGTGTGGTGACACGGAGGTTGCTTAGGGACTTTTCCATGCTGCAGCCACACCGTCTGTGCCTCCATTCTTAAGAGTCCAATGCCTGCTCTAACAGATGAGCCCCAGGCATGATCTAAGGTCTACTGTTGGGAGGCCATACGCTTGGTTTACACTGGGAGCCTATGTTAAATGGCCTCAGGACTGAATTCCACACAGAAGGGAAGCTGAACTGCTAGGAACTGATTCAGGTGTTCCACGGGGTAGTCTTAGGTCTGATCAAGTTCTGATGGCTCCAGTATCATTTCTTTTCCAAATTGTGTTCTTTTTTGACTCTGTGTGTCTCTATCTGGAGGACCTACCTGGACTTCATAACTCTTAACAATGACATGAAAGGAAAGGGGGCTTGCCCATGCTGCTTCCACACACACCTATGTGTGCACTTATTTTGGTACAAACAGCAGCTCAAACATGCAGGCTGAAACACAAGACAGTGGCTCGTACTGCTATGAAACACTGGCTTTACTCTCTCTAAACCCCAGCATGTGCTGGAGATCAGAACGGCCCACAGGGCACCATTCTGGGATGTCAGGAACTACTGCTAGACAGAAGATAGAACCCGGTTCTTACTGTGGCACAGCTCTGCTCCGAGTTACCCTTCCCCTGTGGCCAGGCTGTGGGACAGTGCCACGTCACCACTGGAAGAATGCTGGGGGGGGGGATGCACACATGACAAGGCAGAGTGCAAGCTACTTAACATACAGCACAGGGTACGCTGAAGAGTGCAGTCCAAGAGCAGGTTCTCCAGTCCATGCTGGACTGACGCCCCTATCTGTTCCACCCATACATGAAAATGAAGCAGAAAGATAAACTGCATGGAACTAGGTCAAGATCTGTGACAGAGGGTCCCACAGGCTGTGTCCAAGGTGGCCTGCACCAGTCCACCTTCCTCAGCTCTGACAAAATATCTGACATTAGCAACTTACAAGTCTGATTGGCTTTGGGTCATGGCTTCAGTTCATAGCTCCATTGCTTTTATGCCTGTGGTAAGCCAGAGATATGACAGGAGGGTGTGGCGAGGAAAGTTGCTCACCTCGTGGTAGCTGGGAAGGGTGTGTGTATGAGGTGGGGGAATTCCAGGCATTCCCCCATGAACACACCTCCTTTAACCACTTTTCTTAGTTTCCACCACCTCTCAACACCATGAAAGTATGACTCCATCACTGGATTAGGCCAGAGCCCTCATGAACTATCCCTTAAAAAGCCTTTAACTCATGAGCTGCCAGGAGGCATTGTTAGATTCAAACTGTAACGCTGTGGAGAGACTGGGACAGACCCTCTAGCCTGAGGAAGAGAGGTGGTGAGGTGGACAGGCCTCTGGAAAATACCCCATACCCCACACCCATGAATCTGGCAGTGCTGAGGGATCAGGCTTTGTAGGGAAGGTTGGGACGAGCCAGTGTCTGGCCAACTGGAACCAGTGCAGAAGGCTGAGGAGCTGCAGCCCCGGCTACAGGGTGAACAGAAAGAAAACTCACTGGACTGTGCTGTGTGGACACTGCACACCCACGCTGAGTGGCCTCCAAATGTTTCCTAACCAGAACTGGCTGCCTGATCAGGAAGGAGGGAACCCCCACAAGTCAGTATGGCAGAGGAGAGGCAGTGGACAAACGTGTACTTGTATGTTCTCATGGGAGCTGCTTGCCTGAGTCTGTAGCAGGTCTTGCCAGTGGATCTGTTCAGAAGCCAGGCACATCCCACTTTCTCTACAGCAGGAGGAGACTGAGAGGATAGATGAGAACACAGTTCATTTTTAAAATTAGGTGGGCAGGGGAAATACCAGCTAATCGAGGGTCAGGGAAGGAGCATCCTAGAGCCATCTCTCTGTTCACTTGGAGTTCTTGAGGTTTGGTTTCACTGTATCATGTACAAGGCTCGTTCTCATAAAATTTCAACACACAAGCCCCACTCACTGACCAGCCCCTCCTTTCCCCAATCTCTGACAGAAACTTCAGGGAATGAACACAAGGCAGAACAGGGCCCCTGTGGCAGGGACTGAGGCCAGGCAACATTCCTGGGGTTGGTTCTCAGGACTCTAGGAACCATGGCAACCACAGCTGCTTCCTTGGAGGCCACAGGGTACTGGGTCAGGATCTGGGCCCCAGAAGCCTTTATGGCAGAGCAATCTAACTCCTGTCCCTTTCCATGTCAATGAGTGAAGGGCATTCTCTGGGCAGATCCAGGCATAGGTTGGCAGCTGGTGAATCTGACTTGGTTTCTGTCTAAGGGACAAAAGATTCCAACAGCAAACATCTGTCCAGGTGGCTAATACCTGAAAGAAAAGACAGGTCCCCAGCAGCATACTTTGGGGGCCACCCTGATGCTAAATCATTTTTGTTTTCTAAAAATAAGCATTACAAAACCCTCTATTTTCCTAACTAAATTAAATTGCCTATCAATATCTAAAAAAAAAAAAAAAAATGGTTGGCAGTCAATTCCATAGAAAAAGACACCTGTCACCATCCCCAGATGCCTGTGTCCTGCAGGCCTCGATGAATCTTTTCTGCTGCTGTCTTTCTTGCCCCTACCTCCTTGTTATTCCTCATGTCACAGGACAGGTGCACTCTCTCTGCATTGTGACCCCTAAATTATTGTGCTTTTCTAAGGCATCAAAAATGCTAATTGTAATGTACTGTATGTGTCACTATTCCCATAAATTGTTATGATGTAGGTGATGAGATTAGCAGTTGGTACCTGAGGGAGGGGACAGGTTTAGATGAGGACACAGGGTTGGGCCTCATGATGGAGTTAGCACCCTTACAGCAGGGACCAGAGCTGGTGTTCTCTCTGCCCTGTGTGAACACGGTGTGAAGGTGCTGTACATGAACAAGAAAGTACAGCCTACAAGGAACTCTGAACCTTGATCTTGAACTTCTAGCTTCCAGGTTAGGGGAATGGGTGATGCTGTCAGAGGCCTCAGCCTGTAGCCAGGACAGAGGCCAGAAACCTTCCCCAGAGCCTTCCTCTCCCCCACAGACACCTTCCCCACCACAATTCACCATACAAACAGACAAATCCACCCAGACTGCCCCATCCATACCACTGTGGCCTCAGCCATCTCTAAACGACTACAGTCTCTCTCTTACACACACACACACACACACACACACACACACACACACACACACACACACACACGGCATCTGGTCTGAGTGTGACATACAAATAATACCAGTCACATAACTCACTGCCTGCCTGAACAAAGCACCACCCAGATCCCCAGAGTTCTTCTCCAGCTACTGATGCACATGATGTGAACGCTGTCCAGCAGCAATGTCAGTCTGTACTGACTGGCTCACCTGTGATTCACATGAGAACACTTCCTAACAGCACAACCATTAACAGGTGACCAGCTCACCTCGCTACCCATTGCTTACTTCTAATTTCAGCCCGTGCCTGTGTTCTCTATTCCCCTTTCTGTCACACTCTCCCTACAGCCTGCTTGGCAGGACCCTGTGGACAAAAAAGCAGGCAAGACACCCCCCTCAAGCCTCTCTCTGCAGGATCACCCTCCCCAGATCCACCCTGGCATCAGCCCCCTCCCTGTTCAGTCTTCAGAGATTTCCTGGTAGAGCCAGGACTATGAAGTTACCTTGTCTTGCTTCTGGCATCCCCAGCTGGTCCACTGTGGCCATTCATGCAGCTTCCATCATATTCATAGAGAGGCTGCATAATTGTGCATACAAGCTACACGTTTATATACACTGCCCCCACGCTTAACTCATGCCAGGTACCACACACTGTGGCTGTGGAATGGGTGATGGCTGTGCATCTACACATGTGGGGCATATGCAAATACCCAGGGTCCTTGGACCACACTGGCTATACGTGCATTAGTAGCTGCTGTCCCTGTTGTCCCTTGAACCTCTGCTGCCTTCTTCCCTTCCTTCTGAGGCATCTGGCTGAGAGCTGCACAAGGGAGAGTGACACTAGAACCCTCCCTTTCGTGGAGAGTACCTGGCAACATGCTATGCACGGGGGCATCAATGTTGACATCTTGCAGGTGCTTCAAGGTCTCTGTGTGGAAGAGGCGAAGGGTGGACCCTGAGGTGAAGGCAATCCAAATGCCAACGCCGGCCACAGCCATGTGGGAGATGACCATCCCTTCGTCCTGGTGGGCCTCCAGCTGATTCTGGGGACGTACAGGAAATGGGGTTACACAGGGTATTAAGGGTTCAGCCAGACTCTACAATAGTGCAGTGAGCAAAGACGCCACACAATGAGGCTAGACCGAGTCACTCCTGACTACCGTGGGGTCCTGCTGGAGCTCAAACCCATGACTGTAACAGCACTGATCTACTCACAGCCACAGAACAGCATCCAGGGGTACAACGCCCTTGTGGTGCTTCCCTGAGCAGGTAAAAGTGCTTCAGAGAACACGGTGCTACATTCCATTTATCATGGCACCTCTATAAGCTGAGAAAACAACTTCAACCCAACATCACAGGTGCTGAGAAGGGCCGGCTGCTGATCTAGGTCCCCCACAGCCCACTGAGGGTGGTGGGAAGCACAGCTGTGGGTACTGAGGAAGAAGCTGGTCCTGCTCCCACGGTCCAGGCAGACATAACACAGTCGTAGGGCCACCTCTCCCGAGGCCTGCCTGAAGCAGGCAGTCCTGTGGGATCCCATTCACCGACCAGTACCCAAACAAAATCACACTGCACAAGGTCCAGCTGGCAGTAAACAACTATGGGCTCATCTTGAGACCAGAGGAGGTGTGGTGGCCAAAGCCAAGTCAGGGTACAGTGTGGCAACACCCGAGGAGGAAATTCACACTAAATATCAATCTTACATGGTTCTCTTAATTTGAACAACTTAAAATACCCCCAGATGGGGAGAGGGAGAGCACATGACTCCTGTCACAGACTGCCAAGGTCATGGTACCTACGCCCTAGCAGATGCTCCCAGAAGGGCTGGGTTGAGCTACACCCTGCATTAACTGTATCTCATTTCATTGGAAGATTCCAGGGCAGGAGTGGCTCTGCTTGTACATGGCTGGCAGGGCCCAGGTTAGGAGCTGTACAGGGATGCCTCTTGACCTTGTCTCCTTGGCCTGGTTTTCAGGCTGCTTGCTGCTGGCAAACACAAACTAGATTGATTTTTGGATATTGATCTCATACCCTCTGACCTTGCTGAATGTTTTGTTTTGCTTTTAAATCTGCTAGTGTTGTTCTGGATTCCTTTGGAATTCTGTACCAGAATCTTAGCAAATTCACCTCTTCCTTTCAACACAACACCCACCCAAACCACCCTCAGCATCTCCATAACAGCCAACTCTGGGTGGGCAGAAAAGGAAGAGGGCCTCTGTATACACCTCACAATCTCATTTACATAGTTGCTATTCTGACATCCACCTTCCTCTCCGTGTCCTGAGACACTAGTATTGGTTTAGTCCCTAGACTTCTCTGTGGGCTCATGCTGAGCACAGACAGAGTGTGTGTGTGTGTGTGTGTGTGTGTGTGTGTGTGTGTGATGTTCACTGGATGACCCTGGGGACGGTTCTTCCTTAATGCCTTCACACAGAATAGAACATGTGGCTGCTGCTGCTACTCCCATAGGGGCTGTTGGCTTTACCTCAGGGCTCAGACTGCCTATTGAGATACTTCTGGAATGCTGAGGATGGCAGATGCCCAGGCCTATGCCCTGAAGGCTCAGTACTGGTATGGTCTTTAAGGTTCTGAGATGGCCACACACACATAGATACACACACACACACACACACACACACACACACACGACAGTCAAGCATACCTGGAGGAAGAAGCCTGAATCAACAGCTACCTCTACTTCATGCATACCTGCCCATAGCACATGCCTGTAGATCACTGTGGTTTAACTCAGATCACATTGAAGTGGGAACCTTCCCCATGGAGCTTCTGATACAGAAATGAGGACTCAATGTCACCAGCCCAGGATCCTGTAACTGCTCTGCACTTGAGACAACTGGGGTGCCCTGGGAATGGTCCACTGCCAGCAGGGACTAGAGAAAGGGGTGGCTTTGAGTAAGGACACGCAAGGGACACGGCACCAGGGGAGGGTCAGACTAATCTGTGTACTGTGGTCATGGGCCAGCTGAGGTTACACCCGCCCAGCCTCCCTGGTCTCTGGAAACTTGCACCAACTTCCTCATAGCAGTCATACTTCCAGGCCTCAGAGGGAGGACCAGGAAGGACATTCTGCCTTGCATTACCTTCTTTCTGTAAGTGCTCAAGAAGCCTCCCCTCCCTGCTCATTGCCCATTGTTCATGTAGCGTGCAGAACTGTCTGCAGGGAAAGACTACCCTTTGCAGATTTGAGGCACAAGTCTTGGTCACTACTGCCCCTCGTGTGAGTTCAAGGCAGGGCAGTAATTGCCCCTGGAAACCTGTGGTAGCTGAGTAACAGGACTTCAAGGAGGCTTGAAAAAGCAGAAGGAGAAACCAAGGCATGTGAGGACACAGCACTGGAGGACTAAATAACAAGGAAGGCTCCTCCTTCCCTGGGAGCACGTGTGGCCTCAGCTCCAGGGTCTCCAATTACCAGGTCTTTCTCAGTTTCACTTTGCAGCCTGCAGTCCACAGCACTTGAAGGACTGGCAGCACCGTCTCAGAAGAGAGAACATATTTCCTAACATCTGTTCTGTATTTGAGGTCCCTCGGTGCTCCATGTCACATGGCAAGTGTGATATTCAATGGGGAAATGTGCAAGTCTGCTTTAGGGCATGGGGTCAAAGGTGCTGCTCCAGCAGACTTGGCTCCTGATAGTGAGGGCTTTTCTTGGCACTGGTGACCCTGCTATGTCTCTCTCAGCCTGAGAGCCACAGTTCCTCCAGGAGTTACATCTCACTCCAACAATCTCTGTGATTTCCTTTCCCATGTCTTCCCAGTGACCTCTACTTATTTTGATGGGAAGGTGATGAGGCCCTGGAGTGAGGCCCCATAGCCTGACACAGAGACTCAGGGCAGAGGCGGGGCTTGAACATTACAAGGCCGGTCCCAACCTGGGCATGGGTTTACCATGCCTGCTGAGGATTGGGGAGAAAGGAGCTACCAGAGCTCCCCAGCATCTGACACTGTCCCATGGCTGGACACATAGCCAGGGTCTGCTGTATGGTACCTGGCACTTGGCAGGTACAGAACAGCATTTAGATGCTGGATGAGGGATCACTTAACACAGGTTCGGTTCTGTGATGCTGGGCACACAGAACCAGGGGGTGTGCCTGCACTATGTGACTGTGTGCTGGCTAGTCCTATGTCAACTTTACACAAGCTAGAGTCATCTGAAAGGAGGGAACCTCAATTAAGAAAATGCCTCCATAGGATACAGATGTGAGGCATTTTCATAAGACTGATGTGGGAGGGCCCTGCTCATTGTGGGTGGGGCCATCCCTGGGATGATGGTCCAGGGTTTTATAAGAAAGCAGGCTGAGCAAGCCAGGAAAAGCAAGCCAGTAAAGCAGCACCCCTCCATGGCCTCTGCATCAGCTCCTGCCCCCAGGTTCCTGCCCTGTTTGAGTTCCTGTCCTGGCTTCCTTCAATGATGAACAGCAATGAGGAGGTGTCAGCCAAATAAGCCCTTTCCTCCCCAACTTGCTTTTGGGTCATGGTGTTTGGACACAGCAACAGAAACGCCAAGACAGACCTGTTCCTTCCCTGCATACAAAACTGTTTCTGAGCATGTCTCAGGAGCCACAGGGGTCACAGGGATGCCAAGATGCATGTGCTGAGGGCCCTGGGCTGCACTGCTGTGTTATTACCGTAAGGGACAGCATGGTTGAAGACCATTGTGAGGTTGCTGTATTACTGTCCTGACTGTTTATTCCGTTTATCCGTTTATCCCGCTTTCCTTCCGTCTACCCAAGTTTAGCAAACTACATATGGTGGAAATTCAGGAGCAAGGAAAGCAGTCTTCAGAGTCATGCAGCTCCAGTAGTGAAGCTATAACCATGCTCCAGGGCTCTAAGAGAAAAAGCTGTGAAGTTAGCACCTGCCAAAACCCCAGAGAAGTCCGCCTGTTCCTAAACACACACACACACACACACACACACACACACACACACACAAGGGATAAAAGACAAGAAGGAAAGCTACATGTAGCTGGGAAGAAAAAAGATGGCAAGGGGCTGGAGAGAGGCTCAGAGATTAAGAACATAGACCACTCTTGCAGAGGACCCAAGTTTGGCTCCCAAACACCCACATTAGGCTGCTCACAACTCCATAACTCCAGCTCCAGGGGATCTGGCACCCTCTTCTGGCCTCTGTGAGCACTGCCACTCACTTGCACACATACATATGTATACTGAAATGCAGAAATAAAAGGTGGAGACTACACTTCCTCCACTATGTGACAACCATTATGCTCTGCAGGAGGCAGAAGTGTCCTCTGGGAGGTGTTCTGCCCAGGGCTGCCAGGTTACAGACCCCAAACTCAGACACCCTGGCCTGTGAGCACTCCCACTCAGGCCCACAGCGGTTGTGAAGAAAATGCCTCAGCTTCACAACCTCCTTCCTAACGGCTCCTGTGCTCTCCACCCTGTGCAGGAAGGCAGCTCCCTCCAGCAGTAGCACCCCCACCCCAGCTGGGTGAAAGCAGGTTGAGGTCCTGTGCTGCACCCACATCTCAGCTGTGGCTGCCCACAAAACAGAAACAGCATGAATCTCATTTTCCCAGAAAAGCAGGTTTTACTTCTCTCTATAAATGTGTTCAGTTATTTTTAGGCTAAAAACTGCCTAGAGGGGACCAGTGCTGGGATGTGGATGCTCTACTCTTTGAGCCTTGGAGACAGACAGCACTGAGCCTCTCTCTGGAGCATAAGGCAGCATAATGCAGAGAGGGAACATTGCCCTATCATAGAAGCCTTCTGGGGAAGGCTGCAGAGCACCCCCGAGGATTTTTGGTTTTAGTTTACTAGTGATGATGATCATAATGAAGGTGATGATCATGCCATTTGGGGAAAAAAAATCTTAAAATAGTGTCATTATGTCTCTATAAAAACAATGTCCGACTAACAAAACATTATGCTGGTTTATGTATGTTTCTTTTAGCAAGACTTCGTCCTATTGAAAACTAGAGACTGAAGCTCCAGTGTGCTGTGCTGGATGCAACCAGGCAGCCCCGACACAGAGGCCCAGGAGAGTGTCCCGTGACACACAGCTGGGCCATGGGTGGGCCCTGCACTATTTCAGATTCAGAATCAGCAAGGTATAGGTAGTCATCAAGACTGCCCAGTGGAGCATGTCGACATAGGGTTTGGAACTTTCTAGGAACATTATTTACAAGAGGATGTCAATGGTATCCACAAGGGCTGCAACAAAATTCCAGGAAATTGCCATGGCACCTGTGACTTGGTAGGGAGGGCTCTGTGCTTGGAAGGAAAGTTCTTACCACAACCTTGACTCACAGGTGGGTATAAAAGTAACAAAAGTTACCATGAGCTGTGGGGGAAAATGTCTGTCCATGTTTCCTTCTGCCTGTCTTGTGGCCAGCTGGAAAAGAATCAGACACTGGTATAGTGGCATACTCCGGTCATCCTGGAACTCGGGCTGAGTAGCAGGATCTTCATTCAGTTCAGGGTTAGCCTGGGAGGGTGTGAAGTTACCCTGTTGTGGTCCCAGGGAGAAAGATTTGAGCCTGGGTCTATCCAGGAAATATAGTGCCATCTGCACCTTTGCCCCAGGGGGAAACATTCTGATTCTAATGGAGTCTCACCTTTTGACCCTTGAACTGCCTTTGGGAGTCTACAGGCCTGAGACAGCACCTGCACTGCTGAGCTCAATGTCACCATCAGGAGTCAGGGCACATTTACAGCTCTTGAGATGGGAGCACGGTTAGGTAGTAGAGTGCTGAACACGCATGAGGTTCTTGATTCCAGTACCAAAACCACTCTGAGTTCTCCGCACCTGGAGCTTAAGTTCCACTCTCTTCCTGAGGTGACAGAACATGTCACCAACATATGTCCTGAAATAGATGTCTGAACAACATCTAAAAATGTGACATATAAACTCTTAGCAAATGGCCTGAAGCCCTGCTCTGGCAAGCTGGCAAACACCACCAGAGATATCCTGCAAATGTTTTCTGAAGCTAATGATGATGGCAGCTTGATTTGCAGATTTCTGAACAGTCATTCCAACATGTCAGATTAAGTAAGTCACATCCCAAAGGAAAAAAACCTATTACCTCTAGTATGACACTTAAAGGAAATTTTGTGACATGATTGGTTATGGTTTTGTTGTTGCTGTTTTGTTTTTTGAGTCACTGTTTCTCTAAGTAACAGCCCTGGCTGTCTTGGAACTGACTCTGTAAACCAGGTTGTCCTCATACTCACAGAGGTCCACCTGCCTCTGCCTCCTGAGTGCTGGGATTAAGGGAGTGCACCACCCAGCAATATGGTTAATTTTTAATGGCTCAAAAAGACAATATCCATGTGATGTGAGCTTACAGAGGGAAGAGCAGGGTGAGAGATAGTAGAAGACATATGGGCTAACTGGGCATGAGCAATCTGTACAGTAAGCAGTATAAGACATGGTTAGAAAATGCCAAGGGCACGATGAAGAATAAACAGATCATGTATCTGTGAGCTGCAAACACACACATCAGGACTTGGGCAGCAGATGTGACCGCAGGCAGTCCACACATCACTGAGCTGCAGGTGTGCTATGCGGACCTGCCATTCTCCAGTGAATGACACATGTCCTCACCTCCTGCACTCACGGCCTCCTCTGCTGCATAACATGCCTGGGTTCAACCAGCTCCCCCTGTGGAGGTTTGTTTTGAGTTTTTTTGACTGCCTTCCATTTGGCATTCTGAACAGTAGAGTCTAGAAGATCAGAGGTTACTCACAGAGGAGAAGAAGAAAGCAGTAAAGGACGGATGGATTTTAAGACAGGGAATGGCTGTGTATGGTACTGCAATGGACACGTGCCACTGCACCAAATAACAGCAATGACATGTCACTTCAGGCCTGCTGATGGAAACAAACACGACACATGTATGGGTGCTTATGGCAAGAAAGGGGAGCGCCTGGGGGGTGCACGGAGGACAGAGAGATACTGCAATTTGAACTTTCTGCTTAATTTTGCCAAGAATCTAAAGTGGGTCTAAAAATAAAGTTTATACACAAAACAGAACCTTGCTATATAAGTCATGCTGACATCACTGAGGCTTCGGGGTGTGTGTGTGACTGTGCATTTCCTTTCTTGTCAGTTGCCTCTCAGGCCCTCTCAACACTCTCTGCCAGATTGGCTGTCTCTCTCTTCGTGTCTAGGAAGACCTTATTGTACACTAAGTATGTTAATTCTTGGTCATATGTACAGGAAATATTTCCCCAAATCTGAAAATGAATATATTGGAGCACGTGTACTAAATATTAGGTGTGAAAAGTTACGACACTAAATCACAATTTCTTTCCCCAATGTGGCGACTTCTGGTGCCTGGTGTCTCGGGAAAGGCAGCCTCCACAGAACAGCAATCCCCTCACTGATCCTGCTTTTCATCCTGGGAGTTTAATGTTTCTCCTTTTGTTAAAATTCCCATGCAGAGGGAGTTTTTGGTTTAGGAAGCCTGGATTGGTTTCCCAAACGTCCAGCTAGTCCTTCCTGCATCCCAGTAATGATCCCCCGACCCACTGATAAGAAATGATACTCCAGTCAAGCACTGATTTTCCATGTGTCCCCGAGGGCTGTTTATACCGAATGTATTTTTAAAGCAATCTTTCCACTACTTAGCAGGGAAACACGTAGCAATTACGCCCCACAGAAGAGGTTAGGAAATACTTGGATTTTCTAGCTAACTGTATCTTTCTAAGCAAAGCATCAGAATGCACCAAGCGCTACTGCCACTCACTGCATAATGCCTGGCTGCTGCTGGGATGCACCCTGCCCACAGCTGGCGGCAACAGCACTCACCTCTATGGTATGTGTCTCCAAGCTGGCCATGAACACCTGCCCTCCCGAGGCTGCCCACAGCGCACCTTCCACCAGGAGAAGGCTTCTGACAGGCAGGACGCCCAATTTGATCACTTGCTGGGGTTCTGAGTTCCAGGATCCATCTTAAAAGAAAATACTTTTAGTTCTTCTTGAGCATGGGGATAGAGAAACATGACAACACCTCACTGCAAAAACACAAACCAAGTACCAACTATGACCACAAATGATGCTTGTATTCAACACAGAGTGTTCAGGGGCCTGGGACCAGCCCTGACTCACAGAGCCTGTAGCATGTGGAGGACACAGAGGACAGAAGGCAGGATGGGTCCCACCTTCCTATGGCATGTCTCTAGACACTTTCCCTGCTTTCTGTAAATTAAGTATTGGTTTCTTCATCTGTAAGATGGGGACAGTACTATCATTTTCAAGAACTAAAAATGAGATATATACATAAATGCTCACTGCAGGACCTGTCATGTGGTTCCGCAGATCCTGCTACAGTACAGTGGTAATGTGTGAGGTGATAGGTTGTCAGAAGGATTGCATCATTTTCAAAACATCCCGTGATTCCTCCAGCATCATGAGGAGAACCTGTCTTCACTGAAGGTGAAAAGACCAAAACCAAGCCAAAGGCCCTGATCTTCTAATGTCTCCCTCCATTTTCTGACCCCTCCAGGAAGCCAAAAATGTACTCCAGAGATCTGGGATGAGTTCTGCCATAACTTAAATGAAGCATAAATCAATAGCATGGCAATGGTAAAGATTGAAAGCAAGATTTAATGTGAATTTTAAAGTGACTGACGTGACTATCCTGTAAGTGTGTAAGTCTTCATTCATCAAGTTCCCAGGATTCTGGTGGTAATTACATTGTCAGTGTGACTTCCCTGCCATGGGGATTCTCTTAGCTCAGAGAAAACAAGGTCTCAGCGTTTTCTCTGTCCTGACCAGAAGCCCTGAACCTCTGAGTGCAAAGCCTATGAGCAAAGGGAGCTGAACTGGGCTGTTAGAGGCAACTGGGCAAGCTACAACCACCGTGGAGTGCTTCTTGCTACACAGTGCACATTTCTCAGGTATTCTGCTCAGGCTGCACAATGTTGCAAGGTAGCTTTGTACCCTGGTGTCTTGGCCTACTTTTCATGCAACAAGAGTACTGGGTCCACATACGGTTAGATGCATGCGTGTACACACACATGTGCATTCATGCATGCATGCACACAAAAATGCAGGTGTGCACACAGCCACATGCATACACACACATGCATATACCTTCACGTTTCCCTCACCTGCCCTAACATTCATACAAGTAGCCACCCCATGTGGGACTCATAGCTCTTCACAGCACCGTAGCCTGTACCTGTGATGGAACTCAAAGTGTGTGTTCAGAGTAGAGACAGTGCCCTCTGATGCTCACAGACTCCTAAGGGCATCGCATGGCATGAGAATGTAGACCTCTGAAGCCAGACAAAGCTCTGCCTCAGGCTGCCAGGAGTGTGATGTTGCTGACTGACCATATGGTTCCTTTGAAACAGGAACTCGAAGATCAAATATGGGATGACCCACTTTAGACATTTTACTTTGGTTAAGGTTCCACTTCTAACAATTGGCCTCTGTTTTCTGGCCACCTGAGCAAGCTCTCTGTTCCTCAGACACTGTATTCTTGTCTCCCTGGTCAGGGCATGCGCAACCTGACTGCTGAAAGTGTGTGAACCTGGGCCAACTCTTGGGACAACTTCTTCCTTGTAGGTCACCTGCACCACAGCCAGACTTTATCCACTAGCTAAGAATACTGATAAATCCAAGCCTTCGAAACCTGAAACATTCCCATCAAGTCCCAGGCTTCCAAACCCCACTCCAAAGCAACTGCCCCTCTGTCTGGGAAGGGCCACAGTCTCCAACCAATCACATCTTCCACCACCAAGGATGGAAGGACAACAGGCTATGGGTGGATGCTCAAGCCACTTTACTCTCTACCACCCAGGCCTGCCCTCAATGTGCAGTACAAAACACAACAGGAAGACTGCAGAGACAATGAGACTATGAAGTCATTGTATGACAGGATGCATACTGTATAATACAACAAAAAGCTAAGTTGGCCAAACCCAGGGATGCACAGCAATGAAGAAAACTAGATGGCCAAGGGAAAGGATCAAACAAAACTATCCGGAAACCTAAAAGAAAGGGCATCATGAACAGGGAAGCATAAAACAATATAATGGTAATCAGAAAATTCAACAACAGAAAAATAAAGGCTATACAAAAATCCCTGTGCATTGTGCACGTGCCTTCTCTAAGAAGGATAAGCAAAGAAAATCAGTTGGAGTGAAACCAAAATACCTCTAAAAACACATGGACTAGAAAAGGAATTATCAGCTTTTTACTGGACAGAGGGCTGGGGACATGGCTCAGTGGCCAAGGTTTTGCTCTATGAGCAAGCACAAGGCTCACTTTGATCTCTAATACATTAACGATAATGAAGTAAGACCAAGGAAAGTGAAAGTATGGTCTAAGTAAGTCACTGTGTGAGTTCTAATAGTATAACGTTAATCTAACTTAGACAAACTGCACCAGGAATTATTCAAAAGTTTGCATGCATGCCATGGAAAAATGGACATCAACTTCTGAAATCACCTCTGAAGATGTGTTGCATCCCCCCTGAAACCACCTCCCTTCCAACTTTCAAAAAATCAATATTCCCATGCACTGTGGTCCCCACCAGAGAGGTGTGGAGAACACAAGGTGCAGAAGTGGACAGTAGTGGACAGCAACTGTGGACAAAAGTCCAGAGCTCTCCAGATAGAGTTCCACTTTGACAGGGCTCTGCAGGGTGGTAAGGAACTCACCAGCTTTGAAAGCTCAGTAACAAATATCCAGAAAGCACTGGCAGGTGTAGAGGGCAGCATCAGGGCAGGAAATCCCACACCCTACTTTGGAGAGGGTGGCTCTGAGACCCCTTAGGTAATGCAGAGGGTCTCTTTGGATGTGTATGCATAGAGCCTAAAGCCAGCTCTGAGAGAGCTGTGAGGCCAAGTGTGCAAGACTATAGGGTAGACCTGGGTATTTGGTGATCATGGTTGACATGAAAGGGTCAGCCTCTAGGCTTCAGTTTAGCGTATCTGTATTATGTGTCTGCATGAGAGCCTAGCAAGGAAGCCTAGTAACTAGCCATGCAGTAGAAAGGACAATCCCTGGAAAAGCATCCCCAATGCAAACCAATGAGAAAAGATGTGGGGCTGCCATATCCTCTGCCAGGAGAACCACAGAGGCACTGGAAAGCCAAGGAGGCAGGAGGGCCTACAGAGAGAAGTCTGTGACCTGGACGGTCCTCTTTCCATCTTTATCACAGCCCATCAGGATGGCTAGTTAACATACTGCCTTGCTGTAGGACTGGAGGCTGAGGGGCACACATAGGGGCCGAGTGTTTCTGAGGTAGTAAGGACTGGGCTCAGTGTTTTCGACCCTATGAGGGCAGATGAGGCCAGTCACAACAGTGCCATATGGAAGGATCATAGATGGAGAAGCCAACATTGGATGACTACCCTCCCCCAACCCACGTGAAAGTGGGCCTGAGTGATGGAGGAAGGCCCTGGAGAGCATGGGAGAGTCTATAGTGCCCAAGAGCACTAGGGTAGGCCTTCAAGGCTGGTCTGCATTAATCTGAGTCACTATGGAGCAGGAAGGAGGCCCTGGAAACCAACTTCAGAAATACATCATGTGTCCATCAGTACCTTTTGGGGGAAGGAGCAAGTCACATGGGTTTGGAACCAGGAGTGACAAGCAGCACCATGGGAGTTGAGACGGACTGTTAGCCAAGGATCAGGGCTGAGTGTGTGTAGTTACCTGGAGCCTTGGTGTAGCTGGCTACTGACCCATTGACCAGGCCTGCATACAGGCCCTGTGGGGAGCAGGCCAAGCTCATGACTGTGGACTTGTCGGGGGTGTAGAAGTGCTGAAGCCTCACTTTCTTGCAACCCTGACTGCTTTTGTAGATGGAGATGCTGCAAGAGAAAAACACACATTAACAGGCCCATGTTCGAAGCAGCACCACCCCCACCCCCACCCTCCTTGAAAAGACTTGGCACTAGTCAGCACTGGCAAATGGTGCATGTCCTTCCCATGGCCTGGCTCCCCCAGCTCTTAACACACACTTAACTACATTAAAACACCTGTAGCTATTCTAATTTCATTTTTATAGCTTAAAGAGAAATTCTGGGTCATAGTTTATTTCCTTCCTATAGATTTTGGAATGGTAGTTTAATTTGCCATTAAACAGTGTCAATGTTCCACATAGTTATAACATAAAATATTATTGCTTCACTCCAAAACTTAACAAAACAAATCATTCTAGGGGCAAGCAGTGGGGAGCTTTCCCCTTTATGTCTTATGGTACTAACTGCCATGGGTGTGGCTGACTGGTCACTTTAGGGGGCAGTGTTGACCCCCACCCCTTGTGTCTTATATTAGGCTCATGCTGCCCCCCATGGGAGGTGTCTTGCGCTAAGGGCAATCCCTACAACATTGACCACTCTCTACCTCCCTTCTTCGGTGCCCAGGCAGATGGTGGGCACGTGGGATGCTCTTGAGGCTGTGGCATCTGGATCCGTGGCATCATTGGACTCTTGGGGCTTCGGCTCCTCGGCCGGAATGTATACCATGCACAGGATGCGAGACTCCACATTGAAGCACTCTATGACTTTGGGGTTGGAACTTTGAAAGGAGACGATGGCGACCTGGCCCATCTGATTGCTGCAGCTTCCAATCTGAGGTAGATTGTGAGAGGGAGGAAAAGTGTGAACTCAGGAGGCACACATCTGGAACCGCTACATTTTCTCATCTGGCATGATCCTGGATATGCAGAACCTGACCTATGAAGGTAGTGATTTTCATGTATGAATCGAGCACAGAGAAAGTGAACCAAGTAAAGGGATGCTTAACAGAGCCCATTTCTCTTTTCAACATGTTGCATTTGGCGGTTAAAACTTTCAATAGTGCCGGGCATTGGTAGCACACACCTTTAATCCCAGCACTTGGCAGGCAGAGGCAGGTGGAGCTCTGTGAGTTCGAGGCCAGCCTGGTCTACAGAGTGAGTTCCAGGGCAGCCTCCAAAGCTACAGAGGGAAACCCTGTCTGGAAAAAAAAAGGAAAAAAAAAATCCTACCTTTCAGTAGCATAAACACAACTTTATTTTCAAAGTAACAAGTGCACACATTGGACACCAGACACTTGTCCCTTACACAGATGCAAGGGCTTGTTCACACACTCATTTTCTAAAAAGCAAATCAGTGGCAGTGTGAAGTAAGCTGGCATGAAGGTGCCACAGCGCTCAGCCTTAGTGAGGACAGGTCCTTCAAGGGGTGAAAACTGAAAAGACGAAGCCCAAAGCAGGCCATCCCAGGGGGCACACTGTGTGATACCAAGCAGATCCTGGATTTCTGCGATGAACCTCGTGAAAGTCTACAATCCTCCCCAAAGACAACAGTCTAGAGTGAGCCTGACCCCTGAACCCTGATGACAGACAGCATGCTGGGGTTCCTGGTACTCAGTATTCTCCAATCTTTTCTCTTCCCTCCAACCTGGGGCAGGCTGTTACACCTCCCTGCCTCTCCAGCACATGTTCCATGCTGCAAGCAAGCAATCCCCTCTGACCCTGTTCAAAGGAGGCTAACTCATCAAGTTCCTGGTTGTGAGAGTGTGGTGTGTGTGTGTGTGTAAATCATGTATCAGCACCTACAAATCTGCTCAGTAGGAAACTACAACCCAGAAGGAGTTTAGCAACTCTGTTGGTTCCTAGGTGTACACGCTGGAACACCAGCTAGCCACGCTGCTCCATCCTGAGCACACTAGGGCAGTACTGCAACAGAGTTATCAACTTGGAGCGATGGATACTGAAAAGGGCAAGGGGAGAGGCAGGAGGCCATGGACCTAGGTCCAGGGAAGTTCCTCTGGTGTGCAAGAACCAGACAAGGCTACCGTAAAGGAGTATTGCTGAAAGCCTAGGCATCGTGTAGAACAAACTCATCTTAACCAAGATACCCGAGTAAAAAGCCAGCAATGTTTTGAAAGAGGAGGAAAGTCAATGTGGTGAAACACCAGAGTAGAGGGCATGCCAAAATTATCCTCACAACATTTAAACTCTTTGTCTTGGGTCTTTCCTCAGCTATAAGAGTCTTAGATGAAAAAAGAATAAAAGCCAACATCTGAATTCCTAAACCCACACCTCAGAGGAAGAGTTCTGTCTGGAAAGCTAACCTGGCATTCTCTGGTGAACTCCCCTGACAGTTTTTGTCAACCGCCTAAAGACAAGCAAGGAGCCTTACCCACAGGAAGCCACGTGCTGTGGAGGGCGAAGCTGGTTGGCTTTCGTTGCTTAGGTAAGGCTCGGGGTTATAAGCTGCGCACTCAATCTACAATGGAACACAACACTGTGGATTCAAAATGTTTTCCACCCTTAGATGGTTGAAGCATGGGCCTGAGCCCAAGCACACAAACAGCGAACCATGTAAGTTGCAGACATGAATTCCCAAGGAACTTTGGACGTTAGAACCCTTCAACCATGCCAAAAGCCAGCTGGGCACAACAAATCATCCAGGAGGACTAAGCTAGGAGCAGGACACCCAATGGTGTGTCCTGGGGCCTTCCTGATACATGTGCCGTGTGGTTTTGCAGGGCAGGAGTTTCTGAGGCTTCTAAAAGTGTGCCTCACTTGAGCTAGGGACAGGGCAGTCCCCAGGAAGTGGGTCAGAGCCCAGGAATAAGAGAGAGATAACAGTGTCAATTTATTTCTTAAAGAATGGCATAGTGACCCCTCCGCTGCCCGACCTCTGCTGACAGCCCTCATCCAGTGGCTGATGGAAGCAGAGGCAGACACCCAGAGCTATACACTGAACTGAACTCTGGAACCCAGTTGCAGAGAGGGAGGAATGAAAATCAAAGGGGCCGGGACCAGACTGGTGAAACCCACAGAAACACCTGGCCTGAACAAGGGGGAGCACATGAACCCCAGACTGCTGTCTGGGAGGCCAGCATAGGACTGATCCAGACCCCTGAATGTGGATGTCAATGAGGAGGCCTCGGTACTCTATGGGGCCCCTGGTAATGGATCAGTATTTTTCCCTGGTGTAAGAAGGGACTTTGAGAGCCCATCCCAAGTGAAGGGATGCTCTCTTGGCCTTGTAAAGCAAGCTTGTCCCTAATTTGAACTTAAAAAAAAGAGAAAAGAACAGCCTAGTACTTTGCCAATGGCCTTGGGCCTTAGTGCCCAAGATGAGGACATTTGTCCACAAGGCACCCCCGGTACTTTAGCAGAGAAGGAGCACACATCAAGCAGATAAAAGCTTTGGAGTCCTGACCTTCTGCAGAAGAGGACTGTTGATCAAGTGGGAGCACCACAGAAGAGGCAGGGGCGGGAGCACAGTGGGTCTACAACAACCTCAGCCAGTAGCTGGAGCCTCATTAGTGGTATCCCAGCAATGGCATCTCCGATTACTGGTGATGCATTTCCTCCCGAGCAGGAGTGACCAGGTCCTACACCAGTGTTCCCCAGGTAAATCCTCTGCAAAAGTGGGCGCCGCCCAGGGCTCTCACCTTGAACTCTGGCTGCCTGGCCACCATCACAGGCATGTGTCCCACCAGGAGAGGGTGAGTCTCCTTCTTGGCTAGGTTACCATCGTCGTCCACGCAGAACCATCCCATGTGGTTTTCCTCCTCTGTGGGCACATTCACAGAGAACAGAGCTGAGCTGCTGGGGGGAGTGTGGGTGCCTCCTCATGCACCAACGCTTGTACCCAACACTGTACAGTTGGTGAGCAAAAATGATTTTATCTTGGGATGCAACTCTGCCTGTCCCTAATTGGAAGGTGGGGGGAGGTGAACTCTCACTGCTGCAGCCAGATTTGCAGCATGTCATGGGGCCTCACACTCCGCCCCGGTCGATCCTGAACTGAATGCACCAGCACCATGGGCTGGGCCCGCCTGACAGGCCTGGGTCCTTCAAGCAGCCCAGCTGGACAGACTCAGAGAAAAACTCCTAAACGTAAAGACATAAATTCACTCCTAGAGACAGTGGCCCTCTTAGCTTTGAGAAAAAACAGAAGGGAGCTTACCACCATGTTATTTCACAAGGGGTCAGCTCCTTGTTTGTGGAGATACAGCCCAGTAAGTCACCGAGGAGAGGACAGAGAGCTATGTCCCTGTCCTCAGTCAGGCCAGGGGGGGTCCCTTTCACAATAAAAGTCTTTTCTCTTTTCACTAACCATTGCTTTTGAGGGGACCAGCAACAGCCTACTTCTGCTTCAGTCTTAAGGGACACAAGAAAACCATGGGACTGATTTCTAGAACTGGTGGTCCTGAGTGACAAGGGATGGATATGCTGCACTCCCAGTCACAGGTGTGCAGAGGCTGAGATGCTGTGTGTGGGTCCTGCTCCTTGAAAGAGGACCCACACCAGGGTTTCAGGGTCTGGACCAGGGCTATCGCCTCAGGGGCCCACCCTTGTGCTCAACAGTCATAATATCCAGGAATGTCTTATCACAATAGAAGCAATTGGCATGTTCTTGTTTAACTTAATTCTTCCAATTAAACTATGCTTCCAAGCCACAGAAGGTTCTCTCTCCACCTGGTTTTACCCTCCCAGGTGTAAGCATCATCATACAACCCCTCTCAGATGACCCCTCTCAGATGACTGAAACATCTATTTTTTTTTTTTTTTTTTTTTTGGTTTTTTTTGGTTTTTTCGAGACAGGGTTTCTCTGTGGCTTTGGAGGCTGCCCTGGGAACTAGCTCTTGTAGACCAGGCTGGTCTCGAACTCACAGAGATCTGCCTGCCTCTGCCTCCCGAGTGCTGGGATTAAAGGCATGTGCCACCACCGCCTGGCTGAAACATCTATTTCTTAATGGAGCATGCCTGTTAGCTTAAATCCTGCGTCTTACCAAGTGCCAGCTTGGCCAGCTGCAGGCTGCTGACCCAGGATTCCTTGATAGCAGATGTAAACGTATTGAACACAGCAGTGAAGAAAGTGGGCCGCCCTGACCTGCCAGAGGAGAGAAACATTCCCTTTACAGACAGTACTCCAGCATGTACAATTCCTGTGCAGTCTGCCATGTAATGCAATCACCAAGCCAGAAAACACAGTGACGAAGAACTGCTATGGTTTTGGTTTTGTTTTGAAGTTACTGACTTGTCCTGCTTTCCTGGGAGCTGTAAATGAATTCTGCAGCGGTCTGCAGCTCTGATTTCCTCTTCTTTTTTCAGGATCAGTCGATGTAAGCCTGATGTCCAATCATGGGCTACTGACTGGCTTAAATTCTACAGAGAAGATACATAACATGTTTGTTAGGTTTTAGTACATTTTGATTTGTTTTGTGGTAAGGTCTCACTCTAGCTGAGGATGACCAGGAACTCACTATGTAGCCTAGGCTGGTATTAAAATCATGGCAATCCTCCTGCCTCATCCTGCCGGGGGTGGGGAGTGATTACAAGCACAAGCCAGTATACTTTGCTTGCACACACTTTTAGGAGAGGAGGAAAAGCAAAGCTCTCACTTGCACACCCCAGGGAGACTCAATCATATTCATGTCCGATTACAAAATCGAATCCCTTGGGGTTGATCACATAGAGATATAATTGAGGCTGAAGTACAGCAGCAGGAAGGAAAGCTATGCTACCCTGAACAATATAAAAGTCACACTGGGCCTAATCCTTAGAGACATCCAAGTGCTCGATTCTGGAGAACCTGGAGACAAACCCATGCTCACAGATCTGGAAGCCACAGCAGCATCTCATCCCAGAGGCCCTGTTACCTGATAGCTCCCTCGGAGGTTTCCTATCAGCTGCGAGATCTGGCCAACAACATTCAGGTCATGCAGTAGGTTCTGCAGATCCTGGTACAGCTGCCCTGGGCCCATGTAAACTTTGTCTGAAAATGCAAATGAAAAACAAGAGTCACTTACTTCCTGCTTGGGGAGGCACCAAAATAAATTTTAGGTTTGTCTTTTTTATTGTAAGTTGAGGAGGATCTAGAATTAAAAAAAAAAATAGTTTCAAGCATTTGGGAGTTATCCCTTTGCTAGTTGCTATTTTGAAATAACTTTATGTGTATAGAATGAAACCTTTCGCCTGCTTTCCGAGAGGTTTGTGTCTTGTCTTGTAGAACTGTATATTGTGATGCTCAGGATGACACAGAACTCATGGCTCTGTCATATCCAAACACCATCAGTTTCTGCTCATCATTCTTATCCTGTTCCAGCCCAGGTCCTGAACTCCTTGAGTGTCCTAGCCTTCATCTGCCTACAGACCTCCCAATCTGTCTTTGATGAATTCAACTCTTTTTGAAGGACACTGCTGAATATCTTATAGAATATCTCACAATTTGACCAACACTTTGTAGGAGAGAAAGAGAGATGGAAAGATGAACTGATGGACCGACTAATGGGGGCACAGATGGACAAGGGAATTTTAGGTTTTCCTCAAACTCCTAGGTAGCTGAAGATGACCTTGAACTCGGGATCCTCTTGCCTCTACCTTAGGATTGCTAAGATTGGAACAGTTCTGGGGATCAAATTCAGGGCTTCACGCATGCTAGAAAAGCAACTCCATCAACAGAGCTGCACCCCAAGTCCCCTAATTTTAAATTTAATCATTATTAGTAAGAAATACCCACACATGAAATTTAATCAAATTTCTAACACTTGTGGTATCCAACACCATAGAGTTCCCTAAGGATTTTTCCCAAAGTTAAAACCTTTAGAAAGGACTGGAAATGGCTCTCTCCATAAGCTTCGGTCAGGAGATGATGAGCACACTTCTGTCTGTATGTCCACAGTCAGTTCCTACCAGCCAACCCTAATAACCAGGCCAGCTCCATCACTTATGGAAGACTTTGGGGGAGGGGAGGTGATTTGCAAATACTTATCTCTAGACCCCACAGCTACATGAGTGCTGAGAACAGACCCTCAGCCTCCTTGGAAACCAACCAAGGTCACATAGAGGCAAGAGGGAGCTGCACTTAGACCTATACTCAAAATACATGCTGCAAACCTGTCCTTTTTCTACCTTCCACATCACATGGTCATCACATAAGTCTCACAGGGTCAGCCAGGGAAAGTGACGGAATTCAGGGCCAGATCCACCAGGGCTGAACAGAGCATGGGGGCCTTGGTGTCTGGGTCTCAGCAGAATGGCCATCTGGCCAAAGCCCTGCCTCAAGGGTCCCAGGTTGAGCAGTACCCAGCTGGGTTCCAGGCTCTGCTGCTGACCTCTCCAGCTTCTTATGAGTCTGATCACTGAAGCCTGCGAGTTCAGTCTGCACTCTGTCCTGAGAATCACACGACTTGCTCTATCCTTCATTCTGTCCAATAGGTCACTGGGTCAAAGCTGAGACACAGCTGTATTCTCCCACGATAAAGGTTTCATAAATATGCGTATCTTAAATACACAGTCTCACTAAGGATAGAGCACTCTATCTGTGTCAAAGACACCACCATACAAGGGGTTACTTGGAATATAGACCTGATTTTATCACCTTTCATGCATTCTTAAGTTAGGTGCCTCTCTAGAATCTTGAAGTTTTACCACATGAGGAGTAAACTGTGGCAATCATTATTATGAAAGCATCTCCAGCATTCTGAGAGACTGAAACTTCCTGGACCTCACAGCTTAGTTAATGATACATCTTAAGGTTACTTAAGACTCATGACAGATGTATACTGTGTACTCAGCCTGTTTGTTTAACCAGCTTTAAGAGAACAATGTAACAATCAGCTTTACTTGCCTTGTATTTCCCATGCAATCAACTTCTACAACCCAAGCTAATACTTAGCTTTAATCTTAAGATATGCACTCTTCCATGTCCCTGACCCAGAGGACAATGTGTGTGTGTGTGTGTGTGTGTGTGTGTGTGTGTGTGTGTGTGTGTGTGTGTGTGTGTACATAAGCTATAGTAATAAATTCTGGAAACAGTAAGTGGAACACAACCTTATGCAATAAATTCCACCACAAATGCTGGAAGCAGCACACAGGTAATTATCTGATAGCATTTGTTTGTTTGTTATCTAGGTCAGTAGGGTTCATGTGTACTAGAGGCAGTTTCATCCCTTGTAAAACACTGTTAAAGATGTCTGGAAAATGCCCCTCATTCCTTTCCCATGATGTTTTCTGTGCTGTTCAATAAAAATAAAACAGAGCAAAGGCCTTTTTGTGAGGAACACAGGGACAGGGGCAAACAAGACAAGACAAGACAAGACAGCATTCAGGCAGGCACAGACTCAGACTCTCACAACAGACAAATTATAGAGAGACCAGAGACTGGTAGCTACAGGGAGACAGACGACACAGAAAAGTTAAACCTGATTAAACTACTCCAGGGGCAAGGGCCTTGATTTCCTTCCTTTGTGAAACACTGATGAATCTAGTGATGCCGAATCTATCACAAATGCGTTCAGTCGATGCAGTGAATGTGCTAGGAGCATCTGTGTGAACTCTAGTGGCTCTGAGTCTATCACTAATGCATTCAGTTAATGCAGTGAATGTGCTAGGTGCATCTATGCACACACACACACACACACACACCTACGATTCACAGAATGACTTTACATTATGCTTACAAATCAAAACATTTTTATCTGGCAACTCATCCGTTGCGCTCACTGAATAAATGCTAATTAACTTTCTAGATCAGCATCTACTTTTCATTAGCTTTACAAATCATTAATAGATGTTGACTTTTATTTTTGGTAAGCAGCTCTGAGAATTTCAGGACACATTTTAGATTCCTGCAACACTCTTCAGTGAGTTCACAGACCAGGAAGAAGTGGTTCTAGGGCTCACAAAACAACTCCCATCACCCGTGAAATCCCATCTCACTCACCTCAGAGTCACAGCGCCTCCTTGACTCTGTTCTCTACCACTATAACTTTGTCTTACCATAACCAATATCTAGTTTTAGCCCCCCCAAACAGTATAGTTTTATTAATACTTGTGTTTAGTTGATAAGCCCTTTTAGGAGAAACTCCTTGGTTTGGAGAACAAGTGACCATGGTGGCCACAGTTACACCTTGGGCTGTCTTGCCATGACAAATGTCACAGAGCAGAAGTCTGCACCAAGAAGCAGGTTTGTACAAGGTTGCTGAGGGACTCTACTCCAGCGTCCTTACTTCCCATCTCTAAGAACAAGGTGAAGATCTACAAGGGACACCAACCTTCTGGCAAGTGTTTCTAAATGGAGCATGTTGAGAATATGCCATTTGAGCGTGGATTTGGAAAGAAACATCTCTCCCACTCACCTTGTGAGTGAGCCACATGTTTAAACAGAGAATACTTTTCTACTTAAACCAGCCTTTCTTGAATTCCCGAAGCCATATCTAGGCTCTCCCTCAGAGTCTCCATTCCCTTGAAAGAAAACATGTGATGGGTGGTCAAGGCAGAGTCCTGAGCAGAGAGATCCCAGGAGCAGGGAGAAGGTGACAAGAAACAAGATGGATCCCAGGTTAGGCAATTCACATCACCACACAGTTACCTGGAGACCTTCTTCCGAAGGGAAGAAAAATGGGGACACAGCCAACAACCAACTATGCCCTAACTACTCAGGGAAGAGACAACGGGTCTGCACTGTAGCCACACCTTACACAGCAGGCACTTTGCTTACCAAGTCATCGCCTCAGCTCAAAAAACAAACAAAACACTTTTAAAAAGGAAGGAAGGAAGGAAGGAAGGAAGGAAAAAAGAAAGAAAGAAAGAAAGAAAGAAAGAAAGAAAGAAAGAAAGAAAGAAAGAAAATGTGTATTGTACACCTGTCACAAGCACCATCTCTAGTGTGAATCCAGGGCAGGAAGGGAGGATACTTTCCTCTCAGTGAATTAAAGACCTTTATATTGAGACCCCAAGGGGTGTGCCTCCCTCTGCCTGGCAGAGCAAAATGTACCAAGTGCTACCTCAGCATGAGCAGCAGACACGGGGACGCAGAAGAAACAGGAAGCCACAAATCCCAGTGCCAGGCAGCAAGCCAGAGAACCTCTGCTCAAGGCAAAAACTGAAGACTGACAGCCCACAGAGTGCAGCAGTTCTCAAATGCTACTTCCCTGAAGGAAAGAACTTCCTGTTTTCTAGTCCAAACTCCATCAAGTAAAAACACACAATCAGAAAATTTGTTATAGCGTGTTTCCAGCTACCTGGTGACAAAAGCTTGTATTTTAGATCTGGTGGTTTGGTTCTCTATTGCAGCTGGCACAGAATTGTTCCATGCCTTTCCCAGACTTTCTCATGGACACTGCCCTCCCCCCTCCCTGTTTCTATGGAAATCCCTAGAACTAGTTAGAAAATCCAGGGTGTACGCTGAATGGAATCTTATGTGACAAACAAGGATGGGACTGTGTGGCTAAGTCAACAGCGAGGACATCAACAATAACCTGGGTGGGTGTGTGGACTCAAACACGACCCTCACCGAGTCTGGAAGCTGAAATATCTCTGATGCTGGCTGAGGGATGTCAGGGGCAGAGGGTTTCCCAGACCCAGACAAGGCTGTTCCACCAGGGGTGGTCTGTGAAGTAGAGAATACAGGAAGCAGGTGTGACAGAAAGCAGTCATCCGTGAGTCACCACCAGCTCTCACCCTGGAGCTGCCACCAATCTCATCTCCAGGCAAACACCTCCCCCTGCCCCCAGAATCCCATTTGATTTTCCCAGGCCTCCAGAGATTCAGCAGGAATGAGAAGGAATTGCTATCCTCTGGCATGGCAACCAGCTCCAGTCTGTGTCCCTGTCCTAGGCCCCACAGGGCCATTTCCCTGGGTCCAGGCTTCTGATACCTAACTGCTCCCTGAGAGCAAACACCTGGGTTCAGAGTTGGCTTATATGTGCTACTGGTGAGAGGGGGTCAAATTCACCTTCTGCGTGTGAATAACTAACAACCAACTGGCAAAGAGCTTTTAAACAAGACCCCCAAAAGCACAGACAACAAAAACAAACACAGAAGACTAGGCACTACATCAAACTGACAAGTTTCCACACGACAAAAAGAGCAATCAACCGATATATCTTAGAAGATTTAAAGATGATTGCAAGCTAATCACGTGAAAGAAGATTACATGTAGACCATTTGTAACAAAAATCCAATTAATCCTATTAAAAGTGGTCAAATAATCTGAATAGGCATTTTTTTTTGATTTTCAAAATTCTATTTTTATCTTACATTACAGTGGAAGAGCAGGAAAAAACCAAACCAACTCCTCTAAATGAGGGAGAAGTCTCAGGTCCACCTTCCATTACTGTCACATTGGCAACATCTGAATTTGGGAGAAGAAACCCTCAATCCAGCAATATGCCTGGGTCACTCAAGCATCTCACTGTGGAGTATTGGGGAAGGACCCTACTCTCTTAACTACCACTCATCGGGTTCTGAGTTTCCAAGGAAATGACTCCTTCCATCTCCTTGGGGAAGGAGATGGCAGTTGCTATGCGCAATTCAAGCTATTCAACAACACTTAAGTGTTTCTTGCATTCTTCCTTTCTATTCAGAACCAAATCACTGCCCTCCAGTACTTGGTATCCACAACTTCAAGACAATTTGAGCAATTTCTTCTGAGATACCATCTCTCAACTCCCAAAGGATAGAGGAAACATGGTAATTTTATTTGTTAGAGAGAAAGTGGGAGTTGGGGCATCCTGTTGCTCCTTAAATAAATGGTGCTCTTCCTTCTGCCTCTTGACGATCATCCATACTGTAGTGACTAGCATTCCTGATTTCTAAGAATTCCTAGAATGTAACAGTAGAGTCACTGAACTTCTCATTAACTGTAGGCAGAGTTTTCTTGGCCAAGCAGTTGCATCCAAATTGCCACACAGGAGCTTATATTAATTATAAAAGCTTGGTCAATAGCACAGGGTTGTTACTAGCTAATTCTTTTTATGTTTGTTTGGTTTTTTTTGTTTTTTTTTTGTTTTGTTTTGTTTTGTTTTTCGAGACAGGGTTTGCTTTGGAGCCTATCCTGGCACTGGCTCTGGAGACCAGGCTGGCCTCGAACTCTGAATAGGCAATTTTTAAAAACGTTTTAACAATGTTTCTTTTTATTTTCTTTTTTATCTTAATTTTTTATTAATTCATTTTTTACATTCCAGTCCCAGTTCCCCCTCCCTTCTCTCCTTCCACTTCCCACGCCTCCCATATGCTCCTCGGAAAGGGTAAGGCCTCCCCTACAAAGTCTACTAAGTTTGTCCCATCATCTCATTGAGGCAGGACCAAGGCACCTCCCCCCACCCCCAGTGTCTAGGTCGGGCAAGGTATCTCTCCATATAGAATGGGCTCCACTAAGTCAGTTTGTGCATTAGTGTTAGATCTTGGACCCACTATCAGTGGCCTCATAAATTGTCCCAGCCACACCATTGTAACCTATATTAAGTAAGTCTAGTTCAGTCTTATGCAGTCCTATTTGTCCGACCTGAGTCAGTGATCTCTCACTAGCTCAGGTCAGCTGATTCTGTGGGTTTTCCCATCATGGTCTTGACTCCTTTGTTTATATTTTCGCTCCTCTCTCACGTCAATTGTATTCCTGGAGCTTGTCCCATTGCGCAGTTGTGGAGTTCTACATCTGCTTCTATCTGAACAGGCATTCTTAAAAATAAGATATACAAGTGGCCAAGGAGTTCACAAAGAAAAATTTCACATCACTAATCACTGTGGAAAGGCAAATCAAATTACACATCACCTCACACCAGTAAGAATGGCTGTCATAAAAAAATAACGGGCTAAAGAGATAGCTCGGTGACTAAGAGCACTGGTTGCTCTTCCAGAAGACCCAGGTTCAAGATCCAGCACCCACATGGCAGCTCAAAACTGTCTATAACCCCAGTTTCAGGGTATGTGATACCCTCACACAGACAAATGTGCACAAAAATAAAAATAAATAAATAAAATAAAAAGAATATATTTTTAAAAATGAATAACAACTACAGGTGATAAGATGGAGAGAGGGGAGTTACTGACTGGCGCTGATGGGAGTGTAGATTTTTGGTATAGCTAGCACAGAGAACATGCAGGCTCCTCAGAAAGCCGCAAACAAACCACCATATGATCTAACTATTCTCCTCTGAGTATATATCCAAGGAAAATCAAGTCAGCATGTCAGGCATACCTGTGCTGATATCACAAGCGCCAAGACACAGGAGCAGCCTAGGTGCCCCTCAGCAGACAGAATAGACAATGAGACTGTGGTACACACACACACACACACACACACACACACACACAGGAAAATTATATTCACTAATACAGAGTATCGAGCCCCATCATTTGTAGCAAAATGGATCGAACTGGAATGCACTGTGCTAAATGAACTAAGTCGGACACAGAAAGATAAACACCATGTGAGGAAAGCAAGAAGAGGGTCCAAATACAGAACAGCTAGCTATTCCAGAGGCTCGGGGTGGGGAGAGGGGAAGGAACACTGCAGAGGGGACTGCAGACAGAAGTACTAAGTTCTAAGTAGTATGATGTGACTATAGTTTACATAAACCAATGGATAACTGGAAGACAGATGAAGCCCCAAACATGAAGCGACGACAAGGAGATGGTAGTATTAAGTACTCAGACTGGTCAGGACATATTATATGTCAGTACTGAAATGTCACACTGTGGCCCACAAACATTTATAATGATTATATGCTAACCAAAAGTCAGAAGACAACTTTCCAGGAGACGGAAATACTAAGGATCTTGTATTTTGAATTCAGATGTCAAACTATCATATTATCTGACACAAGCATGTTAAATATAGAAACGATTCATAGTAAGCAGCACCGAGGTATGCATTCTTATTTGGATGATGAAGACTAGAATCAAGTGAGATCATAGATATCCTGAACCCCCCGGGGTTACTTAGGGCTCATATGCTAGATAAACCAATAAATACATAGCAACCATCCAGCACAGAGAGTAGGGACCTGCTTCTGTCCTCAGTATTACCAGTGTGCAGAGGGTAGGCTAGAATGCAGAATCCAAACAGATGGTTCATAATCTGTCTTACCAGCCACGAGCCACAGCCTGAAAAAGTCAGGGAAACCTTTTAGACTGCTCCAGAACAGGACACACTTTGCAAAGTAATTTCAGGGACTCTCAACACCAACCTGGTTCACTGATTCCCAGGCCTCTCTCTATGTGCAAAGTTTATCATGGAAACTCAGTGATATTAACGTGCATGCCCCGCCCCCAAAAGGAGCCTGTTTTCTGGGTGCTTGGAGCCGTGCAGGGGCAGCTCCTTGCTGCTTCTGCTGGCACAGCCTCACCCTTTCCCAGCACCGGTTGCTAGGCAGTGACACCCACACTCTGCCTCCAACACAAAACAACAGACCCAGCTTCCAAAACTGAATGTTACAGTCATTCAAACAGCACAAAAGTCATATGATTTCAATGAGAACAAGAACTTCTACCTAGCTTCTCAAAATGCCCCATGATAATAAGCCCAAGGAAAGGGAAAGAACACACAGAGACCAGACTCTGAAGAAAGCAGGAGCAAGACTCAGGGACGTCTCCATGTGACTGAGCTGACCACTAACCAGTTCAGCCTGGTGCTGGTGTGATTGAGTGGCAGCCTGGAGAGCAGCTTGTTTGATCCTAAGGGCAGGCTGACCCCACTATGAGGTGAATTCGGACAAACCCAGTCCAGCCCTTTCCAGTGTCTAACATGCAGCAATAGCAAGAGCAAACCCTCTCTCCCTCTCTGTCTGTCTGTGTGTGTATGTGTATATGTCTTTGTCTCTCTCCCCCTCCCTCTCTCTCTGTTTTGTTTTGTTGGCTTGTTTTTGTTTTTGTTTTGTTTTGTTTGAGACAGGGTTTCTCTGTGTAGCTCTGGCTTTTCTGGAACTTGCTCTATAGATCAGGCTGGGGTTGCACACCCACACACACCCATGCTGGGACCAAAGGCATGAGCCACTACTGCCTGGCAGGAAACCTTGCAGATGCAGGAAAACACCCCATCACCAAGGCCTGCATGCACACAAGACAACCTGAAGGAGTGGATTCTCTCTTCCACCTTGTAAGCAGCAGAGATCAAACTCAGGTCAGTCAGGCTTGGTGCCATGTGCCTGCCACACCATCTTACCAGTAATACATCTTAAGTGCCCGTCTGCCTAAAGGAAGAAAGGCAAAATGGTACCAACTTGTGATGACTGGCTAACCAACTTGGCTGTACAATGCATTTCACTTGACACATACAAGTCAAAGCATCACATTAAACATGTTAGACATATTTGGCCTGCAATTAAACCTCAACAAGTGGGCAAGTACAGTCTGGGATGCACACTACTCACAGACAGCCCTTCAAGATTCAGTCATCACTGCTATGGGTACCACTCAGATGAAGGAAGACTCACTGGGCCTCAAGCAGCAAGAGGACAGACAACTTGGGCCTTTTCCAGTTCTATGTTCCTAAGAGTGGAGCGGCATCTCGGGGGTGGTCTCCCATGGACCTCAGGGCTGGCTGGACTTCCACAGCTGCCCCAGACCATGGCTCCTTCAGGAGTACCCAGGCAGGTACAGCTGCAAGCAGGAGTCACCAGCTGAGTGTACACATGCAAGGGTCAGGGTCAGGGTCAGGGTCAGGCAGGGTGCCCACCTCCATCTACAGAACCCCACTGACTTCCCAGCAGCTGGTTTTAAAGACACTGCTTCTGAGAACACCATCTCCCTTTTATCTGCCAAAGCTTTTATTCCTGCTTCTATTATGAGATGTGCCACACGGTGCAGCATCTGTGTGTCGGGATAGCCTGGCCGGTGTCAGTTTCCCTTGTGTCTTACAGGACTCAGCGCTTGGTTCATCACGGGCTTCTAATAAATTAACTCGAAGGACAATATCAACTTCATTAAACTGCAGCGCCCACTGGAAACTGCAGCGCTCGCTAATCCATCCTGCAGATGCCTTCCATATGGCATGCTGTAAAGCTGGGGGATGAGGAATGGCATGTCAAGGGAGAAATGAACAGATGAAGTCACACGCCCACTAAGTCACCACCTCAAAGGGCACGGCATTCTACATCAATATCAGCAATGGGACCATGAGACATGCTGTGCCAAGACGTGGGTTCATCAGCAGTGAGCAGCAGAACAAATCTCTAGAAGACTGAATAACTGTCTCACTGTTGGAGAGAGTGTTACAAGATGCCCCCAAGAAACTGTTTTTGCCAAGGTTATCTCAGTGCTTTCTTAACAACACAGAACCAACACCTGCCTGCAAAGGGCAATCTGCATGTCTCCAAGGACTTTCCAAATTCCTCTTAACGAGACAGGACAGCAATGCTCAGAGCTCAGGGTGAGGACAGCTCCCCTCTCCTATGGAGTAGCTCCCCTTAGCTGCTCCACACTCAGCATCCTACCCCACACCTCCTCCTCAGACAGTGGGCAAGCTCAGATCTGCGTTGGCTGGCTCCTCTTTCCTTCAGTTTCCTGTGGTTCGCTCCAGCTATAGCCTTTATAGTGAAGAAGTGGGAGAGAGACGCTGGGTGCTCGGGAATGACTCAGAGTATTCGGGGATGACTCAGCTTTGCACGGGAGTTAGTATGGAAAGGTGGTCACCGAAACAGACATGGCTTCAATAAAATGAATCATTTTCCTTCCACAGGAGCTGGTCAGATCATCCTGCTTTATACTTACTGGTAATGTTCCTGACTCATTATAACCCCATTCTACGTAAACTTAGTTCAAGTCATCAATAGAAAGATGATAAGAAAATGTTAAGTCTGTGTGTCGACTCTGAATTTACCTCGCAATCAGAATCACCAATAGCTGTCTGAACACAGAGGAGCAAGCTTAGCTACAAATACTTTAAGACTGACAGTAATATAAAACATACTCATCTTTGTTCAGAGATACGACACACCCTGTAATCAACACTCCCAAATTATTTAAAGGGAATTCTAAAGGCCGCTGAGAAAGAAATTCAATTTCCCCTCGAATAAAATTTCAATGAACTGTGACAATTTGGAAAGTCATTTTCTTCCTGCATTCCCTCCCTCCATTCTTCCCTTCCCTCCTCACACTGTGCAGCTGTCTGTAATCCATTTGGTGCTCCAGGACACTCTGGTATTTCAGTTCTATTTGAGAGTCTAGATAAAGGTACATGCTGCTTTAAGTGGGGCGTCCAACTTGCAGTCATCATTCAAGACTCTAATGACTGGTTTTATGTTCAAAGAACTAGCCTTCTAGGCACATGACCAAACTGCCAACATTTGGGGAATTATAAAAGTAGAAGGGATTAAACCAGATACTCATCAATCTATTATCCCCTATTTCCCCTAAATGCTCAACGTCCAACCAAAAGAGCTAAGTTTCAATGTCGGCTTTCATGCTTCTGGGCTTGTCAGCTAATCTTTATTCATGCTGAAAATGGAGGAGGGGGAGGAGGCAGTGATTCCTGCTTTCAGATCAGAATCTTGAGCTGAACTTTGACTGTGCAGTGCTGAGCCATCCCCAAAGCCCCACCACCCTGCTACGGCACTGTGAAGGCCACATCACAAGCTTACCACGGGGAACTGAAGAAAAGAGCCAGCTGCACAGAAGAGCCTGCCCACTGTCTTCTGACTTCACTACTCATCAGTTTACTGACACCTTGTAGGCAATGCAGTGCAGAGACAGACAGACGGGCGGACCAAAGCAGCAGCAGACTGGGCTGTCCCAACAGATGTACCACTCCAGCTCCCGGGGGCGGGGGGGGGGGAACGGGACATGAGGGCCAGACTCAGAGCTCATGCTGCCCACAGCCCCAGGAAAGTGGACACGACTGTCACTTACGTGGCTTCACATTGGCCATCACGGCCAGGCTTTCAGGCGAGTGTGCGACATGGTGCCTACTGTGCTCCCCAGTGCCAGAACCACCACCGTACTCGATCACATCCACATGTCCTAGAGGGACACTCCACTTGAGCAGGTACCTCTGGCTCATCACAGCATGGCTTTCGTGAGAGGTCCTAGAACAATCAGAAGGCTGTTACTCTACGGTTGACTACGGGACCAAGTTCCAATGCCTCCCGACCCTCATGCACCCCTGAGCAGCAGTCTAACGGCCAAGGCATTCTGCATCCTCCTGCAAACAGCAGTCACTGGCTCCAGCCAAGGCCTCCAGCAGGATGGGCAAGCAAACTTCTCTCCACAATCTCACTCAGAACCAAAGAACTCACAGAAACCAGGTCTGAGGAGTCTGAAGAAAATGTCCCAAGTACAGAGATGTTCTCAGACAGCTTCATCCTGGTTGACTCCAGCTTTCCCCTTTATTCTTATATGGCTACATTATAGTCACATTAATAAAATTAAGTCACACCCTACACGCCATGACTGAAGCATTTGTTGGGTATACAGACATGAAACAAAGACCTAAGTATTTTCTATCTTTTTTTTTTTTTAACCACAACATGGAACACAAACACAGAGAAACACAAATACCTATGACCAAAGCAGCAGCAGAGCCCACAGCTCATGCAATTATGCACACCCACAGTGACAGACAGGTTGCTGAGGGTATGCCACACAGCATCTGCATGGCCAGGCTGACCCTTGTGGTCAATGCCCTTCACTTGCTGACAAAAGTCAGAGGGGTGACTCTGGCTCTCAAGTGTCACCCACATGTCCTCTCTGCCCAAACTCTGTGGTAGTAGGAGGAGGGTGGCCACCTACTCGCAAGGGTGACGGTGGGTGATGAAGTGTCATGTGATGGTAGTATGGAGCTGCATAGTTACCAGCCTGATCTCCAGGAGGGACAACCCAGATGCCAGGCCAGACACCTTCCACAGTACAGGCACTCCTGTTAGTCCACTGTGTGTTACCAAAGGCTTATTAACTGCTCCTGCCCGGCCAGCAGAAGCCTCTCACCAGCTACTGGGGCTGGCCCCACATCAACCCCTGAGGATCCCACCCTCCCAGACTCCCTGAGTTTTCCACAGTAGCTATGTGCTGGGGAACTGTTCTGATGTCAAACTGAGTGATAGAACTAATGGGGACTGAGTGGGGGTAGACCCAATTGTAAGCACACTGGAAAATACCTATCAAAAGTATATTTAGAGGATCAGCCAAATGACAACAAAGAGCCACAGGTGACAAGGGAGGTGAGAGGACACAGTTCAGGGCTAGCTCTAGCACCAGTCTACGTGAGTTCACCTGTATGCACCTGATTTCTGCCAGCAGACCCACTGACCCTCAACAACTCAGGCCCAGAGTTAGCCTGTGTGTGGCACTCTGGGTTTCACCCTCAGCATGCAATAATAATAAAATTAATACCAACACTACTACTACTAAGGATGATGATGATACAAAAAAAAAAAAAATGCAAGGAGTTTCCTTTAACTAAAGTACTGAATTTGGCCACAGCTCAGTGCAGTTCTGGTGAGAGATCGAATGCAGCCTCTCACTCATTCTCTGATGTACAGAGCATGTCACTGTAAGGCCAACAACGTGTGATGTGGGCTTGTTCTTACCGTGAGCTGGCAGTGGCACACATTAGCACATCGTTCAACATGAAGAGCCGGCGTTCCTTGGTCTTGATGATTTCTCCCCTGTCATTGTAAACCGTTTCGATGACATCATCGGAGCGAATGAGGTACCGATTTCCGCTGCTGAGGAGCTGAGTGGTCAAAAGACATCAACACAGTCAGTACATCTGGGTTCATGCAAAGTAGAAGGGAAGGGGCAGCCCCGAAATGCACCATCTAACAGTGTCCATGTTTTGTGGCAGAGTCTCTGTAAGAAGGACCCCACACCTCCTGCTCACTCCACACACAGATGCTATAGTGCTCGGTGTGTGACATTAAACTGCATATTTTATGGACATCAGCACGGGGAGAAAAGTCACTTAGCAACTGGCTTTAAAGCAAATGTAAGTCTGTATCTAGACTTGATTTACTGTTGTTGTTTTGCCACTATCAGTGATTGAACACTGGACTTCATGCAGCCCATCATGTGTTCTGCCACGGAGCTGCATCCCCCAGAGGCTGTGTCTTCTTACTGTGCCACTCTCTGTGTCACTGAGCCAAGGAGACATCAGTGCCTGGAAGCATGCGCTACACTGATCAGTGCCGTGTGATGTCACAGTATGCTCATAACAGGAAACACGGCACCTCTGGCCCAGATGATTGCTACCACCTCTGAGCCTAGCCTACGACTACCCTGACTGATGAGCTCTCAGAAACTAGCTAGAAGCCAGCATCATAACTAGGCCTTTCATGGCCTGTGCGCAGGATGGAGGTCAGGTGCTTCCAGGTTGCAGTCAGTGTGCCTTCCTTCCTAGTGAACTCTCACACCAGGCACTATGGAGATGCACAACTGTGAATGACATGAATTATATCAAGAGTGCGGCTGACTGTGATTCCCTATTCGAAAACTTTCATTGAGAGGATCAGACAAACGCCTGTCAAACTGTACAGTCATAAAATCCTCAGGAGTAAGCCATTGGATAGCCTCATCGAGCAGGACTTCTCCCCCACCATGAAGAAAATGAATGTGGCATGAACAACAGTGACTGACGCCACACAAGTTAGCGTGGACCCTACCTACATGTAGACGGACTCCTCCCCCACAGATGGGACCTTGAACACATGTGAAAGCCTATGAAGGTCTGCTGCAAGAAAACCACTGTAAAGAGGAAGTCAAACAGCCCAGCCAACGAGGGCTCTTTGTTCTCAAGCACATTTTTGAGGTAACATAGCTTAGCACAGGTGGATACAGACAAACAGCTATTTAAAATGAAATATGGGATTCTGAAACTAAAGCTAAGAGTTGTTCTTAACCTTTTGGGGGTCCTTGGATCCAAATAAGGAGCTACTAAACCTAGGAGCCTTTTTCCTGAGAAAACAAGTGGGCGGAGGCCAAGGTTTTACATGCAATCCCAGACATTCCCGGCCCCACCCACCACAGTTAGCTGAGCAGAGGGAGTTACCCTAGTGATTAATAAACTGTCACCCTGGCTTGTTAGCATGAAGCAAAAAATACTTCAGCAAAGGGCAGAGGAAGACCTCTCTCGACCTTGTTTAGGTATCTTTCATTTATGGCTTTTGCTATCTGTTTGACTTCACAGCGCTGGTCAGCATCTCTTTTTCTCTCGTTTAGCTTCTCCGCCAGGGTCTCGAGCTCCGTCAGTGCCATCTGAAGGGGCAGCCTGTCGGGGTGTCCTTTGGCTGTGTTCTTCAGCATGTCCTGTGAGCAGGAGGCAGGGTGTGGATGGTCAGCAAAGACTCTTCCAACCCCAGCAGTTAGCAGACCACTTGGTCTGGTAGCTGGAGTGATGTGGGCTGCCAGTCACTATGGAAGAGAGTCAGGGCTTGGAGAGGGATAAGATCATCTCAACACTTGGCTGATCGTCCCATCAGCTCTTTGTGTAAAAATGAAACTGTTGATGAAAATATATAGTGTGGGCCCGTGACATAGGAGCATACCACCAATTCAGAAAGCCAACAGTGGCCAGGACAGGACAGGACAGTCAGGCTGCATTTTTCTACTGGAGTCAGACAAGTACACCTACTCACTGAAGTTCCCCAGTGTAAATGTGCTGCTGCGATGTCTACTATACCCACAAGGTCAACTCACCCGGCAGGGTCTCCACAAAGGCCCTGAACTTGAGGAAGAAGGCTCACTGCATGGCACCATGAAGGCACACCTCACACTCCACTGTGCTCCTCAGACCCCACGTCTTTTACAAGTTGAAGCCACAGCACTGTCTCCACCTCACCCACAGGGAGTTTTCCCAACAGCATGTATTTAATGCTGAGTCTCCATTTCCCCACTTGGTAATTCTCACAATATTTAAGGTTTTCATTATCACGCTGTTATATAGAGAGCTTGATGCCACTGATGCAATTGTTCTGGGGTACCACAACCCACAACACTCAAAGACTGTGGACTGAATCTATAAATGTGTGTGTGTGTTCCACTGATCGGATGACAGGTCATTCCCTGAACCTTCTTTTTCTCCTTGGGCCTCCTAACACCGGAGACACAACAGTACTGAAGTAGGTCACTCAATAATCCTACAGTGACCTCTGGAGAGTCCCACACTTCTCACTCTAAAGCAAAAGCTATAAATGGGGCCGGTTGTGGTGACACATGCTATCTGAGCAGGCCGGAGGCTTAGGTAGAGGAGATGAAGAGTTCAAGGCTGAGATGACTAGTGAGTTCAAGGCCAGCCTGAGTGCTCTCTCGCCTGATACACAGCTGTAACTGATGCGATCTCTAAGCCTTTTGAGGGAAATTAAACGTTCTCCTTAGTAACAACACCAGTGATGAGAAAGGGAAACGGTCTTGATGCTGGTATAGGAAGAAAATCAAACTAGCCACATACGGCATTCCCTCAATTCTGCTAAGTGAAGAGATCCTAACTTTCTTCACTCTCACGGAGGCTGAGAGAGCTGCTGATGCTGGACAATATAGACCTGAAGTTGGCAAAGGCTGATCAAGAGGTGTAAGCCACAGAACATCCCCGTGATGTGAGGGAAGGTAACGGCACAGGCGCTGATGAGAAGACACAGCAAGTATGCCACAAGATCCAGCTCAGGTAACTGCTGGACGGGCAGAGTAACCGATGACCTTCCAGAGAAAGCCAAGCCTCCTCCTAATAGAAGACACCACCTCAGATTCACCCCACGAGAGAGGAGCAGCCAGAGCCAGGCTCAGAGTCACAAAGGACACAATGACTGTTGGAGTGCAGAGTGGACATGGTAGGGAACTGAGGTTGAAGATGAGGCTCACTCAGCCAACCAAAGGCCCTGAACCTTTTCATCTCACCGAGTCTACTCTGCTTGTGCTCTGAAAATGGAAGGCAAGTCCTATGACAGTGTACAGTGTCTCTTACTCTGTGCTCTAAGTCACCACTGAGAACAGCCCCACAGAGAAAAGGACTTCTCAGAAAAAAACTCTCAATGCTTGACAAAGCACAGGGCAGCAGTGAACACAGAGGAAATCACAATCACGTGACGGGGAGCCGCTAGAGTGGGAGGGAGGAGGAGCCCGAAAGATGGCCTCGATCATTGAAAAGGGCCAGAGGTGGCGGCTTCCTGAGGAGGAAGCCCTACTAAGGGCTGTGAGCACTGCAAAACAGTGACAAGGACTTACACAAAGCACATGCAGTCAGGAAGTGGCAGCACTCGCCCAAGCTGACTCCAATTGCAAAGGAGGCGGCTAAAGCTCTGTGCAACAGACCACATGGCCATAAAGAGGAGCAGGGACTACCTGGCTTCCATACAGGGTTGATGCTCCCCGGTTGCTATAAACAGGGCTCGGGGATGTTTCCTGAAAGGGCTAACAGTCATCACAAACACCCCTACTCAGAACTGAGCACGGCTCTATATCATGTAGCACCCATCTTTTTAGAAGGTACCACAAAAATCACATTGGCACCTTTTTCTGTATAAGGACTGCATGCTAGCTAACTCATTGCTCCCCTGGAGCCAAAGAGTAGCTTTCCCTGAGCAAACGCTCTTGCAGCATTTCACACAGCGCCCTTTAATCAGACGTTCACAGTTGCTGCTTATGATTCCTTAATGCTCTGCATCTACGATTCTGGTCCATTAATTCTCCTGCTTTCGCCAGCTCTGCTGTTGGGAAGACATGGACATCATTTGTATCTCTAAATATCTCTCTAAATATCTTATCTATTTAACAGGAAAAGATCTCAGTCCAAACAGCCCAAGGGCTCCAGTTTTCATGACCAATATGTCCCTACTCTGCATAGAAATCACATGACATTCTGTCAACCACAAAAATCAAAACAAACAAAAACCAAAAACCAAACAATTCACGGATATAGTGATGGCTCGGGAGTTAAGAGCACTGGCTGTTCTTGCAGAGGGTTCCCAGAACCCACATGGCAGCCCACATCATCCTCCAGGCCAGTTCCAGTGCCCTCCTTGGGTCTCCACAGCCACTATCTATGTGGCTGCTGGTGATTGTGCCCCGCTAGCCCCTGTGACAGCAATAGACTAGTGGCCAGCTCCAGGTGCAGCTCATCTACCTGTAGCTGCAAAGGAGGTCTGCGATTGTTGAGAGAGGGGAGCCTTCGTGGCGCAGTCACTCCTGCCCCTGGTCTTTCGCCAGAGTGGCAAGCCCATGTTCTCCGTGGCCCGGGCATACCTGCAGCAGGAGGATGAACTGTGGGAACCTCTGGATGGGTCGCATCATAAGGCTGTGGAGGGTGACTCGGTCTGGACTGGAATCCTGGCTCAGCTACAGGGAGGAAGGGCAGGCTTAGTGCAAGCAGTGGGCCAGCCTGTGTCCCTGTCACATAGAGATTGAGGATGATGGACAGGCCACTCAATATGAAACTTTCAAGAATGTATGGAAAACATTTTCTACCCCAACCCTTAGGAGGACTCACTACTGATGCTGGCCCTGAGGAGGGGCCAGACCCGGCTATCTCAGACCCTGATGTATTTCCCAGTATTCTTATGGTTCCATGCTGGCCAGTCTGCTCCAGGAGAGGTTGTGGCCCCTTACGCTCCTTCAGAAAGAAAGTTCCTCCCAGCATTTATCGGTCATCTTATCAGCACCTCTGAATACCCAGAGAGATGTCTGTACTGAACCACACCAGGCCATGGTGGCCATGACCCTGGGGCTACACCTGGGATATCTTCTAATAATCCCACACAGTGAAAGTCACTGCACAGTAAACAGAAAGGCTCAGCTAGGCCTAGACTCAAGGTCACCTGGCCCTGGGGAGGAGACCAGGAAGAATTGTGGTCACTGCAATGCCACAGTTTATATCATCATCAAGTTCCTGACAAAATCCTCAGAGGAAATCAATTTTTAACTTGGTAATGTCTTTGTTCCCTTTAGGAAAAGAAATGATGTCACAGCTCAAGGACACAGAGCACAACTTCTCCAAAGCCAGAGGATATTTCGTCTCTGGATAGCCTTCTTTGGGCTGACCATGGTGTAGTGGGAACCTTAGCTGTGTTCAGTAGAAGGGAAAGGGGAAGGTAGCCCACCGCCAGTATTACATCAGTGCTGGCCAGAACACTTGCCCTGGGTCTGCTCACCCTAGGGAGCAGACATTTCCAGGAGTGCAGTCCAAGGACTCAGAACACACTGTGCTCCAAGGCTTTATCATTCAAATGGGACTGGGCAGGGATACCCAAGGTCCATCTGGTTCACTGTCCAGCAACCTCAGCTAGGCCTTCACATCTAGGCCTCTGAGACCTGCCTGCAGACCAGCACCCACCAGGTAATGGTAGAAGGCAGCAAGGGCTTGGGGCTCTCAGCCCTGACATCAGGAGGCACAAACCCCACAACTCCAACCTGGGCTCCTCACGGGCAGCCTTCCCAGGCCTTGTCTTTCTGCTCTGTCTCGAGGAGGGGGAGGGGGAGTCACTTCACTCCCAACACCATGCTGAAATCGGAGGCCCAGTCACCCGTAGGTTCTGATGGAACTTTTTTATGTCTATATACCTGTAAGTGCACTTTAAGGTGAGCAAACAAAAGTTCCTTCAAAATTCTGTGATATAGCCTAGAATCCCCAAACCTTCAGATACCCGGGGATCTGATGGTATTGACACTCTACAGTAAACAGCACTACACGTTAAAGGCCGGGCTCAGTCCAGCTTCATTCCAAGGCACTTAGACATGGGACTTGTTACAGAATACAGTTCAAACCCAAAGCAGGGAAGCGTGCTTACCTTTAAGAACTCAAGGAAGGCGGGCTTCGCGGCACACGTCTTCTTGAGGACAGCCACAGCCGTGCTGAAGTTGTTCACATACTCACTGTAAGCATCCAGCACCATGGACTTGGAGAACTGGAGAACAGAGATTGGGAAAGACATGGCTTGGAAGATGCCCTTCACAGTGCCTTTGTAGGGCCAACTGTGGTGGCTGCATGCGGTTCTTCCTCCCTGCCTGTTCACAGGGCACTCGGTGTCTATCTGGCTGGAAATCGCTGGGAAGACCCCAGTGCACCTGTTCCTGAACTCTGAGTTTAGGAACACAGACAGCCAGCTCTAAGTTTCTTGGGCAGGCAGCTTCCAAGAGAACAAGGGTCATTCACAGTGGCCCCAACATCCTCCCTTGGGGCATAACCTACCTCTGGAAACACAGGGTAAGGCTGACCCCCTTTCCCAGGTGGAGATATGACACCCGTATACTAACATCCGCTATTTTCCTGTAAATGCAAAGGCTTCAAGATGCAGCATGGAGCAGGACTGGTGCCTGGTATCAGCTTTCAGAGATCAATTATTTCTCAGTCTTTCACAAAGGCACCATGTGTCATCAAGGACAGACAGGTGACTGACATGAGCACGCTTTCTGGTAAGCTTTTCTCTCTCTCTCTCTGTGTGTGTGTGTGTGTGTGTGTACACATCCACTTCATCAAGTATCTGTACAAACTGTAGGGAGAAGAGAGCTCGGCCAGCACTCATGCTTAGGAAGCTGAGGCAGGACACCTACAGTTCAAGGCCAGCCTGGAATACAAGGCAAGATTCTGTATCAAACAGGGCCAGTGTGGCAACTCAGAGGGTAGAGGGGCTTGCCCACAAGCCCAGAAACCTGAGTTCAATCCCTGGCACCCACAGAGTGGGAGAAGAGAGCTGACTATGAAAAGTTGTCCTCTGACCTCCACGAGTGCCCCCAACACACAGACACACAGTAGAAAAATAAAATGCCATTTAGAAAGAAACAAATAAAAATGACTATCAAACATTTGCTACATTACTAATATAGCATCATTTAAGTACACAAGTACTTTCCCCATAAACCTTCAAGCTTCTATACGTTTGACGGTGACTTTAAATAACCACAGAGCTAATCTGCTTCATCCACAGCCCTCTACATCTAGACTGAAAGGGGAAATAGCACACACCACGTGTAACCCTCATGAAGAGGAAAGATAAAATGACTCCAAATTGATGACATAGAAATGCCCTGCCCTTGGCTTCTGGGCGACTGCTTCTGTTGCCAGGAAATGTCACCTGCAAGCTGTCACAGCATTATATTCCTGATTGACCATGGAGGACCAAATCCTAGGTCCATATAACAAAACATCCAGGTCAAAGAATAAAGGTTTGAGGAAAACATCCAGATATTTTTGTGCCTCGTTTTATACAGTCACCAGGCATAAAGAGTATCATACAGAGAAAGTATGAACTGTATCAGGAAGGGGCCCAGTGACACTTTCACTACACAAGCAGAACACTTACTCAGGAACAAAAGCATGACTCAGTTAATGACTGTGCAACCAAACCGTGATAAAGTGTGTACCTGTCTTTTGTCCTGAACCTCTGCACAGTCTCTTTGTCCCCTGGAAAAGGGTCCTTCACTGCTCCTTCCCTGAAGGTGCAAACTGGGTCTGGCCACTAACTTATCAGCAAGCATCCTTTTGGGCTCTGGGGTTCTGGAAAGTGATGCCACCCAGAAAAGAACCCACAGAGCTTCAGGTGGGAGTAGGGAATAGGGTCTGCTGAATTACCGAGGCTACAAATACATCTCCAATTGTCTCCACGGCATCCCACTCAGACACACGGCTGGCCAGTGCGATCTGGAACATGGAGTGGCACTGCAGGATCTCTTTGACACGATAAAACACCATCTTGAGCTTCCTGTCACTCAGGAGCCGTGGCTCCATCTCAGACAGCGGCTTCTCGTATTGCTGAACCAGAAACAAGTATGGACAGTTCAGTCACCCCAGGTGGCAAGAGAGTCATTCTCACTTCAAAACAAATCATGTGACTTTCAATGTCAGCACACAGTCACAGAACTTACACTTTTCAGAGAATTTCTCAAACTTGTCTATTTTTGGTCATAAATTATATGCATACAAAACTTTGTACAAATGGTATGTGAAGTGTGCAGCATTGTGCTTAGGTACCTCCAAAATCCTTCGTAGAGCGTCTACGTAGTTCTTTTCACTTTCAACAATGGAACCCAGGATGTATCTTCTTACAACCTGTCAGAAATGTGAGAACAAGATGGTAGAAAATTGCTTCAGAATACACACAGATAAACTTTACTTTTAGATTAAAGCTTGTTAATTTAAAAAAGTATTTTTGCCAGATGTGGTGGTGTACATCTTAGCACTGGAGAGACAGAGGCAGGTGGATCTTTGTGAGTTCACAGACAATGCTGTTTACATAGCGAGGCCAGCCCAGGCCACACAATGAGACCATGTCTGAAAAAAACTGTAAGGTATTTTTAAAATAAAATTAAGGAGACGCTGAGGAAAAGTTTTATGTGGTGTGTTAACTAAATAGCACAGTGGGTATGAAACACACCTCTCTGTTGATACAACTGTCTGTAGCAAAGGCAGGACAAATAGAGTAATAACAAGAAAAACACACTTGCTTATGCAACATCCATGGTCTGAATTAACCAAACAGGTTTCAAGTTCTCGATGCTAAGTGACGTGATGTTTTGTGTAAAAACTGAGGACAGAAGAGCTTCAGTCTCAATCAAACAATGTTACTAGCACCAGCAACCTAAAGTTCAAATCTTAAGTTACAGACAAGCAGAATGCCTGCAGAAGATGGAAGGCCAGATTCTGCTCCGCTAACACCCACCTGGGCAGCGTGTTACTCTCTCCTGTCATGAGATGTTGGGACTTCTCATGACAGATTGTGAGACACTTGCATTTAAAACACAGCATATTCTGATCTTTTTCATTACTAATATAAAGTATTAGTGTGTGGCTGTAACACATTTGCAAAATGCCAGCAACAACATTTGGTACTGTTATTACCCCAAGTAGATCCTAGCAAGTATCAACTGCCAGTAAAATGAAAATAAGGCATAACACCACAGTAGAGTTGCTTTAAATCAACACTCACAAACACAGGCATGCTCGACATATGTATTTGTACACACATCACCACAACACATGATGTGGGCACACGCACACTCGTCACATTCACACCAGCACACCCCAGAACTCGTCTAGGCAAAAACTTGCTAAAGGGCATTGTCTGAAGATACTGCAATGCCACCTAGTGGGCCAAGAAATCATTTCCACCTGGAAAACTCCCATGATTCATGAGACAGTCCTTGCTCTCTTACAAAAAGAAATACATTTTCAACCCACAAAACGAAGTCGACAATAAACCTTCTGAGGATATCTAAAGAAAGTGTGTGTGTGTGTGTGTGTGTGTGTGTGTGTGTGTGTGTAAAAGAGACACAGACAAGCTATTTTGCTGGCCTGTGGCTCACCGGTTTGGCAGGTTTGCTCATCAATCAGTGAGCCATAGGGATCTGTCTGGCAGGCTTCCCCAGCACTGGGATGCACCTCACCATGCCCAATGTTTGATGCAGGTTCTAGGGGGTCAAAGTTGAATCCACATGCAAGTGTAGCAAGCACATTACTAAGCTGTATGCACACGGGTCTTGGTAGCTTATGTCTGTAATCCCAGGAGTCAGGAGGCTGAGGCGGGAAGACTGACAATGGGTTTGGCTATCTAGTGCGTTACTGACAGTATTGCCTACAAATCCGAACCTGCCTCAAAAAAAAAAAAAAAAAATACAGACAAAGTAGGGATTAGAACCACTCTAGGTGGCCATGAGACCATTCCCACTATCTTAGCTCAGTCTCAGGAAGGGCCTAAACACTGTTTCTTCACTCTAAAGGATGTTCCTGCTGATAGAGCCAGGGACCTGTGTCTGCCAAAATTCAGAAGCCCAGAACCTACCCTGGTGCTCATGAGTAACACTGCCCAAGGATTCAGACTGCTATATCTTAGACCCTGAGATGACACCTTAGGTCAGTGAACCAGAAATTGGTAAAAGGTGGTCAGCATTCATACCTACTCCATCATCTAGATGTTCTGGCAGTATACTGCAGGTGGTGTCAGCCTTTTTGGGCACTTAGAACTGACATATCAAATGGCATGTCCAGAGAGGAGTAGCATGAGAGAGCGTCCAGTGATATAACATCAACACAAGAACTACAAATCCAAAGTCGCAGAGATCAAGATCACGAAAGGGCATTCAAGAGCCAAATGGTCCTCCAGGTGATGGTCAGGTCTGCTGGGGAAGTTGGAGCAGAATGAGCAATCATCACTGGGGCCTGAGCCTGGAGAGCTTCCAGACCATTCCATGGCCATTCTTATCCTTATATGGGATGCTGTAGGGTGACTGATAAGATTCTGTGCCCTTTGGGTGGTGGTGACACACATGTTTAATCCCAGCCAGCCAGTCAGATCTCTGTGAGTTCAAGGCCAGCCTGGTCTACTGATGGAGTTCAGGGACAGGCTTTAAAGCTACAGAGAAACCCTGTCTCAAAAAAAAAAAAAAAAAAAAAAAAAAGATTTGGTGCCCTCAAGATGCAAATAATTTTCAATAACAATCTCAAAAATATAAATAAGAGCTGCCCTACCCCTTCCTAAAATAGGGAATGAAAAGAATATTCAACACCCAGCACCCTTCTGGTTACTTACACTACCTTCTATTTCAGGAGGAAGGGAGAAAAAAGAATCCAAAAGTATCAACACCCCCAGTTTAACCTTTAAAAACATAACTCTCAAGGAGAACTCTGTTGCCAGAAGGAAAAATAATAGACATGAATCACAACTGTAGGGAAGCAAGCTAAACAAAGACCAGAGAGTCAGTGAGGAGACCTTGGAAATTTATGGGACCTCTTGCAGTGGATAAGTACTTATCCCTATAGGAATGGACTTTGGGAGCCCATCCTACATGGAGGGATACTCCCTGAGCCTAGACACAAAGGGATGGGCCTAGGCCCTCTCCCAAAGAATAAGACAGACTTTGAAGACCCCCTAGGGAGGCTTCACCCTCCCTTGGGAGCAGAAAGAGTATGGGATAGGTAGGGTGTTAGTTGGGGGGCAGGGGAGGAGGGGAGGGAAAGGGACCTGGGATGTAAAATAATTTTCTTTCTAATAAAAACTAAAACCACTAATTTTGGAAATAAAAAAAAATAAATGTAAACCTAATCCTAACCATAACCCTACCCTAAGGCCTAACCCTAACCCTATCCTAACCCTAACCCTAACTATACCCTAACCCTATCCTAAACCTAACCCTAACTATACCCTAAACCTAATCCTAAATCTAACTGTAAAACCAACCCTAAACCTAATCCTAACTCTAACCCTAAATCCTTAACCTAACCAAACAATAAACACTAACACTAACCATATCTCAACCCCTAAATCCTAAACATAGCCCTAACCCTAACCCTATATCCTAACACTAACACTAAACCTAAACCTAACCATAACTGCAATCCTAACACTAACACTAATCTTAATCCTAACCCTAACTCTAACCATAACCCTGAATCCTAACAATAACCCTAACATTAACCCTAAACCTAAACCCTAACACTAACACTAACTCTGACCCTAAACCTATGCTTAACCTAACCCCTAACCACTAACACTAAACCCTAACCCTAACACTAAGCCTAACATTAAAGAAAAAAAAAAGAAAGAACAGAGAACTCCAGAACCCCTGCACAGAGTCGAGAGTGCAGAGATAACACTCAAATTCCACCACTAAACCTTCATTATCATGTGAAAAGTGAGACCTCATAAACTACTATAATATCTCCATGCCATGCAGGAGGGAACTGGGGTTAAACTCCATCGATGTGGCCAAGCTAATCCTAGTGTGGTCTACGGGCCTTTCCACCTCCGCCCTCCGTCCTACTAACCACCATGAGTGCCCAAGAGGCTGCTGGGATTGTGGAGGGGTCAATACCTCTTGTTTAAAATCCTATGAGGGGACTGGCCGGATGGCTGGTGGGGAAAGCACTTGCCTTCCAAGGCTGAAGACACGAGTTCCAACACCAGAACCCAAGGTGAACACACACACACACACACACACACACACACACACACACACACACACACACACACGACCATTTTTTTTCCTTGTGCAGTATCACTGTCTCCTCACACATGGCACATAATCTACCCACAGTTTCCTCACACTCCTGTTCATCATCTCCCTATACCCCACACACTCCCTCACTTCACACATCCCACACTACTATCTCCACATACAGCTCACACACTTGTAGTCACTACCTCATCACACACTCTACCCCATCGGTGCTCCCTGTCTAGCTCCAGCCTATCCTTTTTGTTTGGATGGTGTCTGCTAATGGCTACCAGGCTCCTCGGGTTCATTCTATCCTCCAGCCTCTGGGGACCTATGGCCACTTGTGCCTCCTCTGCGGAGCTGTCCCTCCTCCTACAATGAACAGCAGTTCCTCTGGGCTTCCTGCCTGGCACAGGAATGCTGACAGAGAACAGGATCTGGTATCATCCACATCTTTTGCCCCCTGTACCTAATTGAGATCCTGCATATGGTCAAAGGCTGGAAACAGTTAACATCAGAGCACGTCAGGAAGGGAGGCAGTGAGCCTTTCCCTTGTTATAACTCGTTGCTCAAATGAGGTGGGCGAGCCAGGCAGTGAGAGAGGAAGCCAGAGGTTCTTTGTGCCTGTGACAATCTGTCCACAACCCTTTTCTGGCCAACAGCACAGATGGGCACAAGAGAGGAGTTAAGAGTGGTGATGAGGCTGAAACACAAAATCCCACTTTTCCTCGTGTGTCTTTGGAGCTGGAACGATGAACGTGGTTAAGAGCACTGGTTGCTTTTACAGAGGACCTATGTTCAGTTCCCAACACCTACGTGGTGGCTCACAGCCATCTGTAACACCAATTCACAATGCCCTCCTCTGACTGCCTGGGGCATCAGGCATGCACATGGTGCACAGTACATATAAGCAAAACACTCATGTTCATAAAATAAAGTCCTTAAAAACGAAGTCTATCATTTTAATCTCAATTTTTGGCACCTATGTATGCATCTTTTACACACACCTGTGTACCATCTCTTTAAGGGTTTTTATTGAGATAGGGTCTGGCTATACATCCCAGGTTGGCCTCAATCTGGCAGCAATCCCCCTGCCTCAACTTCCCCAGTGCTAGAATTACAGGCATGGTCCACTGTGTCTTATTGTCTCTCTATAAAAGTATCATATCACTATGAACAAGAATAAATAACTTGTGACAAAGAATTAAGTTCCACACATGTCTCACTCATACACTTGGAGGTGATATTTATGGTATTTAAGGAACTGTGCTGAGAACAGAGCTAGGACCAGGGCTTTTCATGGCTGGTTTGGGAGACAGCCATGGAAGCCCCAGTGCATAGTGGGTTATCAGAGACAGCAGCAGCAGGTCCTCTAGTATCAGCACCAAAGATTCCCTCACCTGCTGCTGAGACAAGCCCTCTGGCATTGGGGTCAGAACAGCCTCCGGGTGTTTGCAGTCAACATCAATGAACAAATTCTGCTCTTCTTCAAAACAATACCTGTGATCTAAAAAAAAAAAAAATCTGTGTTTATGACATCATAGCACAGTAAAATAAGCCGTGTTTTAAAATAAAATAAACCTTCTGTGTAAGCATTTCAAATCCAAATACGTACTTTCCACCTGGCTATTATTAAATCGAAGATTTAACAAACCCAATAAAAAAAATCCTTCTACAAAAGTAATAAGTATCAGTATTTTAATTTCTAACATTACATAGCAACACAAACACAACACAAATGTTGAGAGAGGACACTTAGTAATCATGGAGGGCTCAGGTGGGACCTTCTTATTAACTTTCCCACACTGGGACCCAAAAAGGCACAACTTTACCAAAATCCAAAACTTTAAACCAAATCTGGGCATGTAGCTCAGGGACAGAGAGCTTGCCAACATGTGCAAGGCCCGGGTTCCATCCCCAGCCCTGGGAAGAAAAGTTTAAACCAAAACTAAACCCACTTCTAAAAACCAGACAGAGCTAAGTATGCTAGAACATGCATCGTGTCCAGAATCAGGGGGCACAGGGGTTCCCAGGTAAGAGAAGCCCGAGAGGCAGAATGGACGTCTGGGGACCTGAGCAAGTGATGCTTCCCAGGTAACTCAGACATCCAGAACCAAGAACTCTTGCTCAGGCCAAGCTGCTGATGTGGCAGCTTGGGAAGTGGAGACAGATGCAGTGTTTAGGGACACCTTTGAGCTACTGTACCTCTCTCCCACCCCTACCTGCCCCCAAGCGAACCAGCCCATCCTGAGTCAGAGATTTGCCATCACTTCCTCTCACAGCTACACCCATCCCAGAAGGCCTTTGCCAGCCTTCAGGTCCTAGCTGGTATCTCAACTCTAGGAACTTCCTCTGACCCAAAGGATCTCATGCCTGCAGCTTAGTGACAGCCTTCAGTGTCCCCAGGCACACACAGGCCACACAGGCCATGGCCCTTTAGTGAGATTTAGGAAAACTTGAGCATTGTGATACCAGCGAGTCTTCCCTCACCAGCAGGAAGGCTTCTAAAACGCCCATGTAGATGGCTAGCTCTTAATATGATGCCTGTGTAGACACCTACTACCTCCTGACATACCACCCTAGTCCCTGCAGAATGACAACGACTGGGAGAGCCGATACACTATCAGTATTGCCATGTCCAGTATGGTTTAGGATGGGTGGAGAGACTAGGAATCCACAGAAAGGGTCCCTGCCCCAGAGGGCATAGGGAAGGGGAGCAGAAGGGCAGTTGGGGCACTAACTGACCTCTACTGAGAGGAGGCAGCCAGAGAGGCAGCTGTTTACAAAGACTCCTTTAACTCTCTGATTTTACTGTGTGCATCCCTTTATGTATTTTGCCAAGGAGTCTCAATCCCCGGCAGCTATGTGGGAACCTGTAACAGAAAACCCTCTCCTTCATTTGGGAGGGGTGGGACTAGGTCAGCTGGGTGGAGCAAAAGTCTCTACACTGTGGGGAAGTGCAGGAACTTTCCACACTGCCTCCACCCTACATGAGCCAGTGCCATAAGAGAAAGGAAAGCTGAGCCAGCCTCCTGCTACATGCAAAAATGGGTTCCAGACCTTGAGAAATCAAAGACTTGGTTCTGATGAAGGACCGGCCTCTCTTCACAGCGGCTTTGGTCTTCTCCAGCCCATCTTTGGTACCCTCCTTGGCTGCCTTCATGAGCTTTTGCATCTGGAAAACAGAAGCCAATGAGGAAGGGGCTATGATGACTCTGCACAATGCCACCTGCTGTTACTTTAAAAGAATACTGTCAAGTAGTGTGGTGGAAACATTACCTGGAATGAGCTTTTCAATTTGGGAGAGGCTCCTTGGTTATTGTCAGTGTATAAGTGTTTGTGGTTCTGAGATACTTCTGATATATTTTTTTTCTTTCTGGTTTTTGTAGCTGTTAAAAGAAGAGCCCCTCCTTCACATGGTTCCAAACCTTCCTGCTACATCCAACTTTTATTTTTAAAAGTTGCAAAATCTTCCAAACACAGGGAGGTTTGTAGAGTGCCAGGCAGTCGTGTGCCCCTAATCCAAGATAAGAAGAGTTAACAGCACACTCACTTCAGTTAAGCTTTTGGGTGTTCTCTACAGGAGTCCTTCCTGTCACATCCCAGGTCTATACATAGTTGTTCAGAGGGACAACAAAGGGTCAGGGATACAGCGTGAGCTGACACTGGCCCAAGTGGGAAGAAGACAGCCAATCCCTCTGTAGGGATAGAAGTCAGAAAGACAACAACCCCTGTGGGTTGAGTTCACTGGGCCTGGTTTCCTCCAGCCAGGGCTATGATTTAACATTCAAATATAAGCCACAGGTGCCCAAGAGTGGCCTTGGCACACGTTGGCATCTCGTTTCTTACTCTTTTAAACAGCTGGTATTGCAGGCATTGGCAGTAGACACTGAGTGTCCTTTCAGAGAAAACCCAAGAGGTTTGCGAAGAAACAAGCCAGCATCCCTCACGGTGACCTCTTAGCAAGCCTGCCAGAAGGCTCAGCAGGCTGCCATGGCAACCAAACCTGCAGCTTGTGCCCTGCTACCTACCCTTGATCACTTCACACAGGGGACAGGAGTCCTTACTGGCAGTCTTTGGGGAGTACACACTACAGCCCCCTCCTTCCCAATGCTGACACTGCTGCTTTCTATTCAATGACAATTCAACATAGCTCTAATCGACCCCGATCTACACTTCCAACCCAGCACCCCAACTCCGACTTCTATCCCTTTTATTACCCTTCTTTCCTGTAACAGTAAAAACTGTAAAGGGACTCTTGTCCCCCATCCTAATTCCTGTGCCCCTCAGCCCCATACATGACCACCATCTGCTGTATGTTAATGGCTAGTCTTTTTAGTTCACTACAGGTGAACTACAAGGACCTTTCTAGGCCCTGCTCCACCATGCCCCAACTATGGGCAGCTGCACCTCGGCCCCACCTGACCAGGCTAATGAAGCAGAGCAATGTGGACTGGGGGCAGAAGGGGACACTTTAGACCCCAAAGCACACCTCCATGTTAGGTAGATAAGATTAATTCTGGGAGGCAAGGAGACTCGCCCCAGGCTCAACCTGAAGGCAGGGCTCTTACTGTTCATGCCCCTAGCACTTGCTCACATCTCTGGATCTGTCACTCAGCAACACCCATACATTTCTAAGCTGGACTGAGCTGTCCTCATGCAGCATGCTACCCCAACTAGCAGAGAGCCTGTGGCTCCCAGGAAAACCCCGGAGTTAGCTCTAGCTGGTGGATCTGTCTCAGTCCTCTCACTGGCCTGCAGGGAACTGGATGCTGGCCAAAGAGTGACATGACTCCTGGGGAGCAACTCTGCTTCAGAATGCTGAGGAGTGGGCACCACTGCCCAGAGAACATCTAGTTTTAGGGTAATACATCTAACACATTGGATAAATATCCTAGGGCCAAAGGGATGGGGAGTCAGTGAAGGTTACTTGACAGTGCCCTTTTAAAATGCATCTCAATGGACTAAGTAAGATATGCAAACCCAGTAGTTCTCAAACTTCTGGCCTAGGAGCCCCTTAAACTTTACAATCATGTCTGTGTTTTTGAGCAGTGCCAGAAATGGAGCCCAGGGCCTTGGGCTTGCTTTACTTCACTCGGTTCTTAAAGACCACTGAATTCCCTAACAGCTTTCATTTATATTTTATTAATCTATAGCAACAGTAGCAAAGCTAAAACTTATATTGATGTTTACCTGAAAGATAATAAATCTAATTGCATTTTATTTTCAATAACATAATTGTGAGAAATGATTCTCTTTCCCAAAACAAAATTGGTCTTTAGTTTTGCATGTTGGGGAACCTCCCAGCCACTGATGACGCCACATGGAGTGATGTCATACATGGCAAGCTCCTGGAAACTGCCTCCCTTCACTTGTGACAGAACAAGTCCAGAGATCGTTACCGACGGCCCTGGAAATGCCCGAGTGACCCGGGAGCCCTGGGCCATACTTTGAGAACCACCCTTCAGTCTGAGATGCACATGCCGCCTGCCGTGTGCACCGCATGGTTGCTCGCACGGCACATTGCAGAGGGTAAGGAGGAGCCACACTACCTTCCGCTCCTGCCTGTGCTTTGCCTGCGGCACCTCCATGGCTCCCACCGTACTGGCCACCAAGCCTCTCATCTTTTCCTCACAGTGCGCCTTAAAGCGGGTTAGGTCATGAGAGAGCTGTGGCACAAAGAGATATGCTTTTCAGAACAGGCTCTGTGTGTCCCCAGAGGCTATCCTGCATGGAGGATGCCACACCTTCTTGCTGCAGGCCACAGTGTGAGCTGTGAGTGAGACATGCAGGAAGGATACATGCTCCTTCCACCAGGGGGCTGCATATGCCCAGGGGAAGAGCAAAGCCAATAAATGTACAGAGAGGTCTGTGGAAGATCATTTGGTTACATCTTGAGGAGACAAGGTTTCACACAGCATACAAGGGGAGGAACCTGGTATTCAGGGTCATGCTAGAGCGCAGCTGCTGTAGGGAAGACAGTCTCCGTGCTAACATAACACTCTGACTGATGGGTTGGCTGGGTGTGCTGAACCATTCATCCTACAGTCACCACCATCTCCAACACACACAGCCGGCCAGATGCTTCTCCCCTGGGGGTAATGTCTCATGTCAACCAGGACAAGGACACTTTAAATAATGTTTAATAGAAATTAGATACTACTTCAACTACTCCGTTTTATACTCTGGTAGCTTTAAAAACATGACTCCTTAAATCTAGAAAGCCAATTCTCCCTGCACTTGTGTGTTAGACAGGCTTACCCCACGAGGACCCCTGTTCGCAGCCCCCATCCTCCCAGCAGGAGAAGTGGGCTCTGTGTTCCTTCCTTAACCCTTCACACTCACAGGCCATCTCCCATTGGCATCTCTAGTGCTTCCCATATCGAGAAAAGGCTACTTAGGTGAGCTGGCATTTCCGGAGGCTTGACAGTACTCAAGGTCCACCTTGAGTACAAGAAGAACAGCCCCATTGGCACTGCCAAAGTAGATGCCATCTTCCCAAGTCAGTCGAGAAGACAGGCCTGAGTGCTTGTTGCCACACAGGTTCGTAGGCACCCTGGATGCCCCCCCCCCCACTGGGTTACGTTTTAAGGACCTTGGATTAGGTTGGGGACATCTAATAACTGCTCTATGCAGACAACTGTCACCTTGTCATTAGCTCCCCTGGCTGAAATTGCAGATCCATCCTGGACAGATCCCAACTGCACTCATGATCACAAAAAAAGACCCTAGTTCCTGGAGAAAGCCTGGCTGCAAGCCGGCAGGCACTATTGTCCATGGGGCTGAAATACATTAGAGGAAATGACAGTTCTCTGGTGACAACTTGCAAAAGTACAGTGACACAGAAATTTGGGCACAATCACAGCCTCTGGCTGCTGGAGTCACTTCAGGAAGCCAGGCAGGTAAGGGAGCTTATGGCTCACTGTTACAAACACAGGCACCAGGTCTCAGATGAGGACCTCATGTGGGCTGCCTGTTAACCTCACACAGGAAGTGTTCAGACACCACCATGACTGTTCACACCACCATGACTGTTCACACGGTCAATAGACCCTTACACCTTGCCATAGGCAACACCACTAATAGGGGTTACACATAGGACCAACAAACCCTTCTACACCTGGCCATAGGGAACCCCACCAACAAGAGTATGTGATCCTGCCAGTCACAGAGGACCCCAATACAGAGTTCACCTCAAAAAGCTGTGGCCAGAGCCAGTGCCATCCTCAGTCAAATATTCACTCTTAAAGGCTTCCAAGTTCCTCCCTGGACTGTCACCTCAGAAGTTTAATGCCAAAAAATAAAGGTTCTCTCTAGGGAAAAATGGTCCAGGGTGGCTGAAGCCTCATGGTTCACCGCTGCTTCTCAGCCCTTAGTTTTCATGTCATCCAGCTCAAGTGCAGTTGTTCACTGGCAGGGCAGTGTGGGAGCAAAACAGAACTGTGCCTGTCCTGTCCAAAGGGACCCGGCCAACTGACTCTGTGCACAAGGACTGCAACTGCCGAGACTGCATCAATTTAGTGCCCACTGGTATGTCTATTCCCTTTTAACCTTGTCTTTTTGAGAAAAGGTCTTTCTCTGCAGCTATGGTCGTCCTGGTAACACACTCGAGGCTGGCCTTAAACTTCCAGCAATCCTCCTACTTGAACCTCCCTAGTGCTGGGATTACACTTTTGCCAACACACGGCTTTTACTGCTTTCTTAGAGTCCAGGTGGTGAGCCTGTTTAGGATGGCAGAAGTGACTTTACAAGGGCGTAACAACAGGATCCTTCTGTGCTTCCAGCTAAAAGACTACTTCAGTGATACCCTATGCTCCTCAAACTGCACATCGATGCCTGAGAAATAATCACATAAGTGCGTGACTCAAAACACATTTCCCAGTCCCATTCCCAAGAAAGCGGAACATTGTCCATCACACTGACTGAGGACATACTTGCTTTTTGTGGCTGCTGCGCAGGAAGGACCTGGGGATTCCATTCTTGCACTCTGAGTCACTTTGCTCCTCATAGCTTTCAAATTCACTGGAACTCCACCCGTACTCCAGGGAGCTGTTCCCACCTTCGTCTCCATTCTCCACATCATCATAAATCATTTCATCTATGTGCACAGACCAAGGTGAAATTAGATTAAATCTGAGTTCGTGAGCTTGCTGAGTTACCTTGTCACCCACAGTCCAGATGGAGGCTGGCCAGCACTGTTCAGGAACAATGCAGACGTCACTAAGGGCACTAGCTCTCAGAACCTCCTCCATGTGGGCAGTGACTGGAATCTGAAGATGCTCTGCGGGTGCTTCTGGTATGTCACTATAGCACTGGCATCCTAGGGACCCAGCCGACTACAGGAAATAGCATAATATACAAAATAATGTGCTAACCATCATGGGCTTTGCACAAAGGGAGAGCTTCCTTTGTATATGGAACATACAAAGATTAGATAGACAGGCAATAAGCAGTGAGAAAGGCAGGCAGAGACATGGAGCTGACACCTGATGGATGGGGGACCTTAGGGTGATAAACAGCTCTCTACATAGAGACTGGCTATGTAAGCTGGGACACAAGTGAGGCCCACTTCTCCCGCACAGTGGAGGGCCTTCTCCCTCGGATGCTGAGCAGCCTGGCTAGCACACTGGGGCAGGGCCTCTGCATTTGAGTGAAACACCTGATTTAGGAACCTGAATGGTCAGAATTGTAATCTCACTTTCTTAACCATATCAAAGTTATTGATTTCAAGTTATGACTTTTACAAATAGGTGCTGCAGTCGCTTCCACCGAGCCAATCTTTCCTTCCCCTGCTCTGCTTCTCTCTCGAATCTGTCACCAGAGTCTGTCTCTGCCACTTGTCAGACAAAGCTTTGGTTTCTCCTGACACATCTTAGGCATTCTGGCTTCTGTTTCACACTTTCCCCTGGTCACGTGTCCTTTCTGCCACCCTCTGCTACTGTCCTCCAAGGAGCTGGGCTGGGGCTCACTACCCTTCAATGAATTTTGGATATAGGCCATTATCTCAATAACTTTATTGTTGGAAATCTGTCCTGAGAGTTTTTAAGATTACTAAAGTCAAAATGTGCTGTGATTTTCCGTCTCGCCTCATCTTAGATGGTTTTGAAGATAATGGTACAATTATTTTTGTAGAGTGATTTTAAATCTCTAAATATTTGTTATTTATTCACTCATTGTAAGCCTGGGAATTGGACCTAGGGCCTTGAACATTCTGCCACTGCACTATATATTCCCACACCTTTATCTTTTTATTATTGGGTTACACTAGTTGCCCAGCATTCTTTGAACCCATTCTGTAGGCTGGACTGGCCTTAACTCACCTAAGCTCAGGTTGGGCCTGAACTTGCAATCCACCTGCCTCAGCCTCCAGAGTTGCTAGGATGACAGCTGAACATCACCAGGTTCAATACTTTGTACTATTTTTATCCTTTTAAAAATTATTGCCAGCGCCGGGCATTGGTGGCGCATGCCTTTAATCCCAGCACTCGGGAGACATAGGCAGGTGGATCTCTGTGAGTTCGAGGCCAGCCTGGTCTCCAGAGCGAGTGCCAGGATAGGCTCCAAAGCTACACAGAGAAACCCTGTCTCGAAAAACAAAAACAAAAACAAACAAACAAAAAATTATGGCCAGGCAGTGGTGGTGCATGTCTTTAATCCCAGCACTTGGGCAGCAGAGGCAGGTGGATCTCTGTTGAGTTTGAGGCCAGCCTGGTCTACAAAGCAAGTTCCAGGACAGCCAGGGCTACACAGAGAAACCCTGTCTCGAAAAACAAAAACAAACAAACAAAACCAAAAAAAGTTCACTTTTTAAATAAGTTTTATTGGACTATGTGGTAGTTTAATGTCAGCTTGATACAAGCCAGAGTCATTTGGGAAAAAGGAAGCTCAACTGAGAAAATGCCCCCACCAGATTGGCTCATAGGCAAGCTTGTAGGACATTTTCTTGACTGGCAATTGATGTGGGAGGGCCCAGCTCACTGTGAGCAATGCCACCCCCAGGCTTGTGGTCATGGGTGCTACAAGAAAGCAGGCTGAGCAAGCCACGAAGGCAAGTCAGGAAGCAGCTCTCCTCCATGATCTCTGCTCCAGGTTCCTGCCCTGTCTGTCCTCACTGACAGAAAATGACCTTCGAGTTATAAACTGAAATAAACCCTTTCCTCCCCAAGTTGCTTTGGGTCATGGTATTTTTATCACAGCAACAGAAACCCTAAGACAGTTTATCAAAAGACATTTGCATAACACCTTTTTGGTATTTGTTAATGCTTTCATGGAAGCATAGTGCATAATTTTAAAGCATCACATGGATTTTTGCTAAAACACTTGGAAACTGTATCTTCAAAGCTGTCTTTAAGCCAGTCATGCTAGCATTCTATAGCCATTGACTTTGCAGCCAGCACCCATAGATAGTGGAGAAGGCTTTGTTAACATCTCACATTCCAGTTACACAAGAAACCTGTTTCTGGACACACCTTAGATGTTACTTTCTGTATGCATATGGAGCCTGCCCTGAGAGGCCACTCTGTCCCTCTAATAATACCACAAGACAGGACACCTAATTGTGTTAGTTACACTGGCTAATAACGCTGGCTAGTGTAACACCTAATAGGCTGTTAGTTAGCCTGGTTACCACCATACTTCCTTTCCACAAGTTTGCTTCCACATTGTCCGTGTCCTTACAGGCAGCTGCATCCGGTTTATATTAACTATACATGTCAATATTTGAACTCACTCTGCAAGCTTTCCTCATGCTGTGTGTCATTTTCTTCTTCATTCATAAGTCCTTGCTTTCAACCAGATTGGTTTACGAGTTAAATGATACATTGCTATGCTCTCAGGTGCTGCTCATTAAATACACACTGAACCTTTCACAACCAAGCAAAACCACAAACCACAAAAAAACCAACAACAACAACAAAAACAGCCACTATCCTGCCGGTGCAGAGGTGCCCAGCCCCCATTACAGCAACCACAGCTCTGAGAGCCAGCCCACCTGTAAACCCATCAGCACTGTCAGCTGCCTCAACTGGGCCTGTGGTTCACCACAGGTCTGCCTGCAGCCATGCTCAGGGCCCTCCTGCTGCCTACTGCTTCCTTCTGCTTTCATGTCCTCTCCCTGGAGTGTGACAGTGCTGCTCCAGTCTGTGAGGACAAACCCAAGCTTCTGGCTGCCGTGGCATGTTGAAAAGACTGTGCTTGTGTGGATGTGGGAGCCGCAGCAGCGCCTCCCTCTTCCAACCACCCAGTGGCCTAACATCCTTGTCCCACAGCACACAGTAGCTCATCTGTTTCTTCTGCTGCTTTGAGACTGTCACAGCGATCTGGCACCCTGGGGTCTCAATTTACATCTGCCAAGTTCTAGATCAGCTTTCCATGAACCTTGCTTCAGGCTTGTATCTCTAAGATCTGACAGTGTATGCTTTCCTTTAGATCTAGAAAACTGTAACCTGCCTCAGCCCTTCCCCGTTTCTATAACTTCTTAGATGCATGCTAGGACATCTTAGCTTCGGTGTTTCAAGCCTTTGCTCCTATTTTTCATATCTTTTGCTCTTTGTGCATCAAGTGCTGTGAGCAAGCATTCCAACCCCCACACACCGCACAAGGTAAGCACTGAAACCACGAAGACAGAAAACAGGCATGTTGGACCCAGGGGGCTGCAAACCCACAAGCTACTTTTGCACCCAAAACAAAAGACTGCTAAACTGGACCTAAAACTCCAGTCCAGACAAGATCAAACCTGGTTCAGAGTCTGAGTTCTCCCTTGGAACGTCATCATAAATTGCTTCCTCTGGATCTGCAATAGAAGGGAAGATATGTTAAACTGACCAGAACCAATGAGTGTGATGTTATAAACATCCCAATGGTTAGCGTGGAGGGATGGCCGGCTGTGTCTCAGAGAGGAGAACCACTCTGAATGAGTTGAGCATCATCTCAAAACACTAAAGATGCAAAATACGACCAACAGGGGAGTTCACAATTTCCAGGCCCACTTGTGCTGTTTTACAATGTGTTTCTGCATGGCTCTCTGGAACAGGTTTGAGCTTGTGGGGTTTAGAACACAAAGGAGTTCCACAAAGCCTTAGGAATAAAAGGAGTATCCATTGTTGCCTTATCAGTGGGGAACCCACGAACTACACTGATGGCTCCATAGTATTTTCACCCTGGAGGTGAGAAGTTACCTGTGCCAGTAACACATAAAATGCACAGGGCCGTTTCCCACCCAGTGTTATGGGGACATGAGTGTTCTGTGATTAAGTTTCCTTAACAAGAGTGTGTGTGTGTGTGTGTGTGTGTGTGTGTGTGTGTGTGTGTAGGGAGGTGTTGTAAATGTAATACACTATATAAGATGGTCACATTGGATCACCAATGACATTGAAACTGGTTTGAATATCAAAGTGCCTTATGTGGGCATATGCTTCATATATGCTTCACAAAAACCCTTTTGAAGTTGATTTTCCGAAGTATTTGTGTTATCATTTCTGTGGAAGAACACCCAACCACATTTCCATACTGAAAACCATGGAAGACAGTGTATAAATGAACTGTCCCCCGAGTGTAGCATGGTTACTCATCACCATGAGGAGCAAGTCCAGAAACTGCAATTCTGGAGCTGTGGTGGCAGCTGGCACACTACCACCACCTAAGCAACTGTGGCCACAATAAAGATTTCCCCTCCTGAGACAGGGCTGGGTAGTGCAGGCCCTACGGTTGTTTTTAAGCAGTTAAATTGTTTAGGTTTGGGGTGGGCAGAAGAAACATGGACACCATGTACATAACAAGATGTTTATGGGTTCTTGTGATGGTTCTGAATCAGCAGCCCCCAAAGGGCCATCACAACAACCCTAGAACATGTGTCAGAATCACAGTTAAAACCAAACCAAACTTTCCAAAAGACACTTGAACAGTTGAGGCAACTATGGTAGTCTGACCTTTTAGCCAATCATACAACAGTTATACAGAAATTATGAGCTACCAGGTAATAAAAGGCATATTCTTTACTTCCTTAAAAATCAAAGAAACAAACGACTGGCTAAAAATATCTCAGCTTCTTAAAGCAACTGTGGAACCCAAGACCTGTATGTCACCGTGAGCACTGCCACCAACAAAGACAGTCCGGAGGCAATCCAAGAAGCATCGATGGTGTCTCAATGCAGAAGAGCTGATAATGGGCGGTGGGTCAGAGCGTTAGCTCCCTCCCCATCATACTGTGAAACCAGACTGTACCAGGAAGAAACGGGGGCGGTGCTTGGTGCAGAGCTGTGACTACACAGGGCAAAAGGCCACTTCAGAGTCCGGGACACACACACACACACACACACACACACACACACACACACACACACGACTGCTCTACATAAGCTTTTGTTAGTACTCAAGTAAATAAGAGCATTTTAAAGCTCCTGATCTGGTCTCAGCCAGGAAAGGACACCCACCACCATCTTTTGTCAAGACCTAGGCGCTCAGGGGCGGGGATGCAGGCCAGGATCAGTGGTACTTACTCTCCATCCAAGCTGTGTTGGCAGGGTCAGCTGCCCACCGGGTCAGGGCATTGCCTTCTTGGCTGCCTTGATCACCACTGGAAGTAAAGACATCATGAATTGAGATCACAGAGAAGCATACCAGTCATGGGGGACAGAATGACCTAGAGTATTGATGTGTGTACACACTGTTATGTTTCTTGTAGGTCATCCCAGACACAACTACAAGAATTCCAAGTTCAAGTTTATAGACATAACTCTATCAGTGATCACACACACACAGCAGTGTCAGAAGTGTTTTCTATACAACCTGAAGGTCATCCATGAAGCCACCTGACTGTGCAAGGCCCCAGCCTTCTCTTTCTCCAGAACAGGTTTGTAGGAGGAAAATTCCAGGACCACAGAACTATCTATACCCCCAGGGGGATAGTCACAGGCTGACAGGCACTTGGAATTCTGTCTTACACTATATGAAGCTACTGTGACACTTCCTACAGAGATTGACAGAAAGGGATTCACTGGACACATGAATTGTCACTGTGAGGTCTCAACATGTTGACAGAAGGGTAGCAGGGTGACAGACCCCAAGACATCCACCTCCTGCTGGGACAGTTACAAAGGCAACCGCCCAGAAGTACAGAAGAATTCGAGGGGAATGAAGAGTCAAGAAATAGGGTGACTATGCAGAAATACACAGAGGTCTCCAAAAAGCCAACACAAGCAGCAAAGAGAAGGGTCACTGAAGAAGCAACCCAACCTGTCAGGGCAGGGCCATACAACTGAGGCCCCTGCCTGCACCATCCCTTGGTTGTTAGAAGTTCGAAGGAAATGTGCAAGTAGTAAGATCCCAAAAGAGGTGTCAGGGTGAAGGTTGGTGAAGGTCTTCACTGACACCCCCTTCTCTGGGAGTGACACACTCCACAGACAGCTCATACTAGACAGCATCGGAACCTGTAGGAACCACTATTTCCTACTGAGGCCATACCAAGTGCCCATGCTAAATGAAGGAGTGACTCCTGTCTCCTAAGAATGGCAGAACTCTTGGACCAGAGCCTAGCATAATCACCGTTAGAGGGACCAGAGAGACTTCATCCAGCAACTGATGGGAGCATGTGAAGATTCCCACAGCCAAGTATTTGGAGGAGCTTACAGAGTCCTACGGAGAAGGGGGAGGAAGGCCTGGAGGAACCAGAGGGGGTCAAGAATCAGAAGAATACAGCCCACAGAAACAATTTGACTAGGACTTAAGTGGGTTCACGGAGATCAAGGAGCCTGCATGGGTCTCACCTAAGTCCTCTGCACATAAGCTATGGTTGTGTAGTTTGCTGTTCTTGTGGAATCCCTAACAGTGGGAGTGGGGACTGTCTCTGACTCTTCTGCATGTTTTGGGGGCCCTTTTCCTCCTACTGGGTTGCCTCGTCCAGCCTTGGTGTGAGAATATATGCCTGGTCTTATTGTAGCTTGCCAAGCTTATTTGGGTGATGTCCCTGAGAGGCCTGTTCTTTGCTGAGGGAAGGGGGTAGTGGGGGTAGATCTGGGGGAAAGGTGAGGTGGTAGGGAGAGACCAGGGGATGGAGAGGGAGGAGAAACTGCAGTTAGTATGTAATATATGAGAAAAGAATAAATTAAAAAAGGAAGAACAAAAGAATGGTAGAATTCTCATGTGCTACTCTGAAGGGCAGGCAATTAAAAACTTGGTAAGTGCTCACACTATAATGCTCTATTTAACATATTCAATATTTTTTTGGATCAGGGTTAACTATGGCAGAAGAGCAGAAAGTGAGACCACGGAGGGTGTGCATGCATGTATGCACAGGACAGAGGCAGGAACTGGTCCTGTGCTTGGTAATGGGGAAGGGGGCAGCAGACAGGTATGTCCACAGGGCACAGTTAGGAAATGATCCATGTTTTGTGGGATGGTGGGGGATGAGGCACCCTACAGCAGACATCCGAACATGTGCACACAGAACAGAAATGGTCCTTCACTGACCAGAGGGATGGACTACATGGAAGGGAGGGGACCTTCCACTTCCAATGACATCTGAACAGTGTCGCTCTCTTTTCCCCTCGGCTCCTGCTCCAGCGACACAATGTGATTCACCAGCAAGGAGGGACGCCAATAAGGCGTCCGATAAGATAAGTCTTATAAAATATATAGACATATGATAATTGAGACTAAGCTAACAGATGAGAATCCTGGTCATTGGCCAAGCAACATTGTAACTAATACAAGTCTCTCTCTGTGTATTCATTTGGGCCTAACTCGGGCAGGTGACTGGTGTAAAGCACACACATGGCGGTGGGGCTCAGGCAGCTTTTGGCAAAAAGATTTATTGTAACAGAACAGTCATTTTTCTCCTGATTTTTGTTGGTGGTGGTATGTGTATACATGTGCATATATTTGTGTTTAGGTGCAGATGAATGCTGTGTGTGGAGAGCACCCATTGACACTGGCTGTCTTCTATCACATATTACTGTACTTTATGTGAGAGTACGTCTTACCTGGCACTCACCGATTCAGCTAGACAGGCTGGCCAGCAAGCCCAGGGGATTCTCCTGTCTCCACTTTCCCAGGGCTAGGGTTACAGTTCTGTGTCCTGCACCTGGTTTTTATACTGGTACTGGGAGTTGAACTCTTGTCCTCACACTTGTGTGGCAAGCACTTCACTGACTAAGCCATCTCCCCAGTCCTGATTTTGGTTTGGGGAAACAGTATCTCACTATGCAGCCTGGTCTAGAACTCACCATTGTTCTGTCTCAGCCTCCATGGTGGGACTAACTACTAATTCGAATCACATACAGAACTGCCGTTTCGGAAAAACGGTCTCTGTGGGCCTGCTTTGTGCCACTCCCACGAGATAAAGTGTCCTCGGCATGTGACTGTTTCTCTCCAGAAATTCCAGTGATTTCTAGGATTTCAAGTTCAGGATCCTTTAATCCTTAATAACTAAAGGGAAGGCACAGTGTGTTAAGACCAGCTGCAGTCACCCAGGGGTCACATGGCCTGATGAATGAGAGAAGACACAGCTGGTCACCATGTCACAGCTGGCACTGATGCTGCAGAGAGACCGGAATACTTTGAGGCTGTGGCTCCTGGGAGGGCCTAGAAGCAGGTACAACCCATGACGTTAGTACCCAGAGGGTCAAGGCAGTGCCCTCCTGCAGTTCAGATGGCGGGAGAGTCCAGTGGGGTGAGCCCAGCACTAAACATAAGGGCACAGACACAGAAGACCTAGGGTTAGCAGAGGTACCTGTTCGGAAGGTCCTCGGAGCTTAGGGAATTGCACTGCCCATCTCCCGAAACTTCTGCTGCTTCTGCCAAGAGAAAAGATGGACAGTGGTTAGCACCTGACAAAATGTTTCCACAGCTGACTTTTAATCCTTAAATGGTTTCATGTTTCTTTCTCACCCACAACAGTTCAGCTCTTACATAAAATGTGTTCATGACAGGATCATGACAGAATGTGAGGTACCAGGTCTGTGACACAGACTAAATGCAAAAGCACATGATACATAGGACTGGAGGGAGGAAGCACAAGCCATGTCAGGCTTGGATACAGTGTCCCCAGGGGGCTCATGCACTGAAGTCACGGCTCCCAGATTGAAGCGATCCAGTCACTGAGGGGTGAGTGACACCATAAAGGCACGACACCAAAAGTTAACCACCAATGGGGTCATAATTTGATGGCATTACTGGAAAGTGATGAAGACCTTTGGAGGTGGAGCCTAGTCTGAGAAAGCAGGCCACAGGGTGGCAATGCCCTTGGGGGGGCATCTTCTCAAGGCCTCTGTCTCTAATGGCTTCCTGGCCGCCATGATGGAAGTGTCTTTGTTCCATTTATGCTCCTCCACCACTCTATGATGTTCTGCGTGCAGCCCGTGACCATGGGATGAACCCTGGAGAGCCAGGAGCCCACCATTCTCCTCTTTAAAGCTAACGTAGCACTCGCAGTTCTGAGTTTTTATGACTTGATTTACAACAGGGGCACCTGGCAAACCCGAATGACAGTGGACAGAGGGGCTATGACGTGATAAACCAAACTTCCTCCTCACATAAGCAAGCTATGTCCAGGCACTCTCAGGTCAGACTGGCAGTTTCCTCCCATTTCTGACTCAAACAGACACATATTCCCCTGGACCTTACAGGATGCTGCCAACGATTTCCCATGCCCGTTGCACTGTTCTGTGCAAGCAAGAACCTGCTTCTAGTAAGTAGGGTGAAAAGTGGACCCTCCAAGACACAAGCAAGGGACCAGGTGCAGGAAGTGGGGCACCTGGGTTCTCTGGCCAGCAGAGGGCTGGCAGTGATCAGAGCTCTTCTCCAGGACTGGCTCTCCCCAGGTGGCCAGGCCTGAGCTCCAGCTGGGCTGCCAGCTCTGGGTGAGATGCGGGATCTTGAGGATATGGGTCCTGGGTAAGTTTTGTGGAACACAGCAGCCCCTCCTCTAGGGTAGGACATGGTTACCCGAAGTCCAGAGGCCAGCATCTTGGAACTCGTTCCCTCACCAAATCATTTCTGCTGAGTACTTCCTTCTCCCATCTCATGGGTCTCTACTTTCCAGGAACACTGTCAGGATGCCCAAAGTGAGACATTCTTCTCACAGTTGGGGAGGCTCAGAGGCAGAATTCTGATTTACAGTTATGTGGAAAATTCACCAGGGGGTTCTTTCCTTTACAGTCAGTAACCGAGAAAACAATCTTTAGAGACAACTGAGCTCTGAATACTGGAAACAACAGAAGGTTCTAAAGAGTAATACTTCCTGCCAAAACCAACCATAAATTTTAAGGCTAGACCACGACCTACAGTGCCTACCCCTGCCTAACAGAACAGGAGCTGTCTAAAACTGACGGTCTTTGCAGTCAAAGAAAATGTGTTCATACGCCCAGCATGTGCTACAGCTACTTGGGGCAGCTGAGGCAGGGGGATCATGAGTTCTTGACTATCGAGGGTATAGAGTGAATTCAAGGCCAACATGGGCAACTTAGTGAGACCTGGTCTCAAAACAAGAAGTCAAAAAGGGCTGTGAGCGTGGCTCACTGGCAGACTGCTTGCCTGGCATGCACAAGGCTCCAGGCTCAAACTCAATACTGAGGGGGAAAGGAAAAATCTATCATTCTAAAGTGATGAATAACTCAATACCATTTAAAGTGCCTTATTTAAAAAATATTTCATCATGATTTTCAGCAATCTATTCTGCTTATGCATTTATGTATTTGTTTGTTTTGCTTTGTATAAGCACTAAGTCCCAGAACTTAAGGACAAGGTGTGCATGTTTGTCTTTTGGCCCTTTACCCCAGAGAGGATTAGAGACTCTGTTCTGAGGTGCACAGATTAGGAGATGATGGGACACATTCTAGAACAGTGACGGACAGTACAGGGCTGGAGCCAGTTCTGGAGTAAAGGCCACATAAGCTCTCCCTGGTGTGCAGAGGCCAGAGGTTCCAGAACACACAGCTGCCTCCGAGTTGTCCCTTCACTGGCCCTTGAACTGTTATAAGAAGGATTAGCTTGGGCTCATTTTCCAAGTGCCCTGTCTCTGTGTGAAGCTTAGGGTCACGCACCTTCCTCTTCTACAGACTCGGCTCGGATGATGACTGGACTGGAGTAGGCAGGCAGCAGCAATGGCAGGTTAGACGGGACAGCATAGCCACAGGGCACAGGCACAGAGTAACCACTAGGCACACGAAGGCCCACCCCTTCCTCCTCTGTGTTTGCATCTGGAGATGGTGGCTGGTCCTCCTGGAATGGTGTGATGTCAATGACAGAATATGGGTTCACTCTCGTTGGGACTGCAAGTTTCGCAGGCTCAGCCTCGGGGGCAGGCTCAGCTTCAGTTCCATTTCCTAGAGGACAGAGAGAGACAAGTTAGCAAACAAGGTGTAAAGGATGTGTGTGGTCCCCATGGCTATAGCAAGGACATGGGAACCCTGAACCCATCACTGTTGTCAGGACCCCCAGCATTCCCAGATCACCACAGGAAGCTGTGAGACCCAGGCCCATGTGGTACATTTTGGGATGGGGCTCTGGCCTCACTCCTGGGCACAGATGGAAGAGACTCTGCCCAGAGGCTCCCGGTACAGCGTACCAAACAAGAAGAACCACATGGAGAGATTTGGCTGGGGACAGAGGAGGTGGATGCTGGTCCTCAACCAGCGGCCACGGCTGCATGCAAACATTCTGTCTGGCTAATGAGCCAAAGTCCCAGATCTACCCCCACACTTGAAAAACACGAACTCACACAAGGCAATCCATCCCAGTTCATGAACAGTGATAAAAATGGCAAGTAGCGTCTATTAGAAAATAGCAGATTTTTGTCTCTAAAACACAAGTGGAGGATTAGAGCAACAAGAATAAAAACTGAGGGAAAATGATACAAAAAAAAAAATCAGCCAAAGCTGCATATAGTTCATTCATCGGATCACATAGACTCCTCTGACCTCCAAAACTGTCCTTGTCATGATTTGCACTTGAAGTCCACCCCCACCCCAAGGCTTACAGGCTGAAGGCTTGGTCCCCAGCAGGTGGCGCTATGAGGGGGGTGAATGGATCTTGGTAACCCTTGCATGGGCGCCTATCTGAATAGGGACACTGAAAGGTGGAACCTGGCTGGAGGGAGGGGGTACTGGAGTTGAACATGCACGTCTTTCAAGGGGCTATCTTGCCTCCTCAGCTTTCCTCCCTGAGTCTTGCTCTGCTTCTGGAGTAGCATCATGAGAGGAGCTCTGCTTTGCTCTCCTACACTACGGACCCAGACCCTCTGTGTGTGGACCCACACAAAGCTCATATTCAAACCTCGGGGAATTTTGCTGTTACAGGGATGGAAACTACCAGAGCTCTTGTGAGCACAGAGAGGCCAGGGCGCCTTCTGCAGGACCCAGCGCAGTGTGGTTGTGTGACTGACCTGCAGGGGAGGTGGTCTCGCCTGCAGCGCCTGCTTCAGCACCTGTGGCCTCACGGGCCGACGGGGCTGGACGATCTGCTTCGGGGACTTCGTCTCCACTATCAAAGTCAAATAATTCTCCCTCTTCCTCTTCATTGTTATTGGCGTCATATTTCACTTCATTTTCTGAAGATTAAAATAGCATAAATCACAATGCTGACATTTGCTTCCAGGACGGCATCTGTACCTCCCTGGGCAGGACAAACTCAGGAGAAGCAGCAGGAGAGGTGGAGAGCCTGAGCCCAGTCCCTGGGGAAGCGGCTGGCAGCATCACTAGAGATGGCAACGGGACTTTGGATCATAGCTATGATGTCCCTTGGCAGGCACTTCACCGAAAAGGTGGGAAAAAAAAAAAAAAAAAAAAAAAAAAAAAAAGGGGGGGGGGGAAAGGGAAAAAAC